TTAAACCTCTTTACGGGCCTTTTAAATAAACAGGAACATCTGTCCCGTAACCCCCGGCAACAGCAACCGCCGCCTCTGAACAGAGGAGGGCGTCATCTACGTGACGTCACACCAACAGAAAATTGAAATCAACAATGAGACATTTGATTTCTGTGGATTGTCACGGGGGGGTGGGGGGGGGTTAATCCCTGTGCAGCTGCTCGGAGCCACAGATGTTGCCTCGTTCCGGTGCTGCAGACGATCACGGCACTGATTTGGAGAACGTACCACACAGGGACGCAATCGCCGGGAGATGAAAATGAGCAAAGGTTCCGCGTCTCTTTCGTGTCAGCTGTCAGCTGCTCGTGTGTCACGAACATATTAAAGCACAAATAAGGAGGGGAGACGCTTCGCGTGACTGACAGCTTATAGTCGTCTCTTTTAAACCCCCAAACAGATGCACGTCAGAGTTCAACCATGCCGGAAAATGCAGATCGAGAGTTGGGATGAGATAAAAAAGGACGCTGGAGGCTCCGGAAGCTCATCACGATCTGCACTCAAATCCCTGACACACGAAGGCCTCTGAACTTTGAAATATTGTTTTGTTTTTTTTACCCTAAAAAACATTCCTGAGCAAACAGCACATTGAAACCCAAGAGTCTATTGGTGTGCCTCGCACTCCACCACTCCTCCGGGCCTCCCCCCCGCTCCTCTGTTCCAGATCGATTTGCTTCTTTGGAGACGGATTGTGAGAAAAAAACAGCGCGGCTGCATCCATCATTGCGTCCGCCCGAGGCTAACCCCCCCCCCCCTCCGCCCCCCATGAGCAATGGACGTCCCTGAAGCTCACGCGCGGCCCATTGTGGACGATTCACACGTCCTCATTATTACAGTTCAGCACCCGTGTACGTACCCGTCCTCTCATTGGGTCTAACTTGTCCGCAGTGGAGCCAATTAAGAGTTGTTTGCCCTTTTTGCGCAAAAGACTCAAACTCCACGCCTAAATGAATCAATCCAAACCAAGGAAACTTTGTGCAGAGGATCAATCAAATGTTTCTATTTCACAACAGGAATTCACCACAATGGGCTGAGCAGCATTTCTGCCGTTGGCCTTCAGCGATGTTGGTTTTAAAGTCCCAGTGACTCGCTGAAGAGCCCGTCTGGTGAGTTTCCTCTTTGCCTCTCGCTGCAAGGCGGATCCACTTACAATGGCTGTTATTTTTCCCCATCTTTTGTTATTTCAGAATCAGAACTTCTTCTAAAAGACTGCAACAAACACTCATGTCACATCGTGTATCCTTTAAGAATCAGGAGGTAACTTAAAGAGACCCGGGTCCTCATTTATATTCAAGTCTGTCTGCGACATCCCAAAACTTAAACGCACTGAAGTTATTTCCAGCAGCTCTATTATTTAAAATGAGGGATAAAATATTATTGTCTGAGTGAAAGTGAAACCTTCCGTGCTTTAGGGAGTTTGTGACATAACAATCAATGAAAACAAGGAGTCCCTGGGTGCAGAGGGGGGGGGGGCACGGCGCTCATTAACCACCATCCCCCCCCTGGTCGTATCAGAGCTAGATGTCCGCTTCTCTGTCTGGCAAAACCCTCAGCTGCTTTCAAGGACCCTTTCAAGGCCCTTCCAAGGCCTTTCAAGTCCCCCGAGTGGAGAAACGTGCTGTTTGTTCCCGGTACTGTTTACCTTTCACTAACAGGCTCCAGAGAAGAAGTATGCGCTCGCTCTTTGTTTTCAACAAGGCTTTCATCGACAAAGAGCAGGAGGGGACGAGTTTACGAGGGTGGGGGGCGAGAGAGGGGGGAGAGAGAGAGAGAGAGAGAGAGGGGCCTCGAGGAAGCACGACGCCGATGCACAAGAGTACCTGAGGATCACACAGCTTCTCTCTCTCTCTCCGTGTCTTTGGTATCAGACCCTTAAAAACGTTTCTTAAAGCCCCCCCCTCCTCATCCTGCGCTGTCTAATGAAGCTGTTTTCAATTAGACATGCGATCGTTAAAGGATGAAAATGTTAAGCGGAATCTACACAATGCTAATTGAACATTTCCTTCAAGCCCCTTCAATTGCATTCTGGGTAAAGTGTCGCTAGTTATTAGCTAATTATCGCCTCTTGTAATAAGTGAGAATCTAATAGAATGAGTTTAGCTCACTTTGCATAAATTCATTAAAACAAATCTATCCTCACCGCTGCCAACTGGTGATTGGGAGAAACACACAGACACACAAACACACACACACGCACGCACACACAATGAGAACTTTACGTGGGTGTTTCTTAAGAGTCCGTTTAGTGTGCAGTAAAAATACAAATTAGTTGAGGTGAAGAGAAAGACCCACAGGGGGTCAGAGCTACTGCTTCGCTCTGTGTGTGTGTGTGTGTGTGTGTGTGTGTGTGTGTGTGTGTGTGTGTGTTGAACGTGATATATGAAGGGAGGTGGTGGGGGACAATTTGACCGATGTTCTTTGGACCTTTTTTTTTTTACATGAAGAGAAACGGGAGGTCACAGAGGTCATTTGTAATGACAATAACGTATTGTGACGCCCCCTGCTGTGGAGGCAGCAGCCTTCCAATGAGATTTGGTTTTGGTGATTGAAGGCACGTGGGCCGGGTGGCCTGAGATTAGAAAGCCCCGTGTTCATTCATTCATTCTGTCGCTCTCTCCAGCAGACGTCCGGTGTGGTAGGGCAGCCGCCTGTTGAATCCTGTTTCCTTTTGGTTAAATGCCCTTGACAACACCCATCGTTTACACTTTACCCTCATGCACATCCTACACTACTGATAATACTGACATTCACATCCCATCTGGAATGGTTGTGGTTTTTTGTTGTTCTCGTGTTAAATAAAGAATATGTTACACCTCGGAAACCAGTGCAACTCCCATCTTGTCATGGCCCAAAGAGCCAGGTCGTGACAGTATTTATTTGCTTATTTTCTCTCCTTGGAGTAAAAAACTTGAGGAAAGGACTCGTATCAGCCCTCTCTCCCCCTCTCTCCCCCTCTCTCCTCCTCTCTCCCCCTCACCACCTCCCTCCTCTCCTCAAAGCAGCCGGCCTCGTTTCTCTGTGCTATGAACTTGATGATAGGAGAGAATTCATTGATTGTTGTTGGCTCCTGGTTTGCTTTACAAGAGTTGTTTTTGACATTGTGTCACACATGTGTGCGTGTGTGTGTGTGTGTGTGTGTGCATCCCTCTCATTTCTCAACAATTACCACTACTCCAGGCCACAGTAGTTCAGATATTGATTTCTCTCCTTTTTCATTCTCCCTGTCCCCTCTGAACAACTCCCTTCAGAGGTTGTGAGAGTGTCTGTGTGTGTGTGTGTGTGTGTGTGTGTGTGTGTGTGTGTGTGTGTGTGTGTGTGTGTGTGTGTGTGTGTGTGTGTGTGTGTGCGCGTGTGTGCGTGCGTTTTTCTACCTACCATTTTTCTAGATTTTTTTTTTCTTTGTCCCACTTTCACAGTGTTTTGTGCTCTTTAAGCGCCACTGACACTGAAGTGTTTATGTCAAACGGGGTCCTCACATCCGTAATACACGAAATCTCTATATCGTGTCGCGCTGCCAACTAGTCCCCAATCTCAATCTTATTTCTGTTGAGATTGATTCGAAAGAGAACCACAGATAAAATTACAACACAAACACACACAAATAAGTGTGAAAACACTGGAATTGGTTTCCTCATACAATGGCACAACATGTCCAGCAGAAGGCAGCAGAGAGCTACAAATCTATTTCTCCTTTCAGTTAAGCTAATGTTAAACATGAGGTTGAAAAATGTTATGAAAAAAATCAAAATATGTTGTGCCAAGAAATGTCACAGAAAAAAGTATCTAGTAATCTGAGGTTGAAAAAAATATATTTTTATAAGTCAAAATACGTTATGACAAAATATTTAATGGAAAAAAGTCAACAAACCTTACCTCAGAAAAAAAAAAATTCGTTAGGTTGAAAACGTTTTGAAAAAACCCAAAATGTTTGGTCAAGAAATGACATAGAAAAACAAATTCAAACAAAATTACGTCAAAAAAAGATGTTGATGATGAAATATTTCACGTGAAAAAGTTTTTAAAAAACTAATGTAAAGGGTCGACATTTTTTAGTTTGAAAGTTATTTTGAAAAAAGATTGATATTGATATCAATTCTAAAATGTCATGGTAAATTAACCTTCCTTCTGTAGTGGCGCTGCTTGTCCACGGGAGCGCAGCGGAGGCCGCGACAACCGAGTCTGCTGCGCATTTGCACCAAAGAAGAAGAAGCTTCAACGTCAGTGGAGGGAAACAACCGTAAACATCCACAACTCACGTCTTGAGTTAATTTAACACGTTGTGGACGTTTTTATCTTTAAACTCGTCGCCGAGGCACAACGGAAGGTTTGTAATGTCGCTGTCGTTGCGTTTCAACGGAACGTTGAGCAAGTAAAACGTCACCGATAAACTAAGACGTCAAAATAACCGTTTTAATTAACAGTTTAATACATTTTACCCGTGTGGGAATCAGAGGGGTGACTAAGCTAGCTTAGCTCGTTTATTAAGCCCGTAAACGTTGTAAATCTGCTTATTCAAAGTGAATTAATAACTTCTAAGTAGTTTATTGATGTGCCGAATGTTCCAGTGGTTTGTACGAAATGACACGTTGACTAACTGTGTTTTTAAATGGAGTCTGGAGCTGTGTAAATATAATGGCGATAAAGCGACGTGACAGTTGGTCTTTTGGCAGTAATCACTCAAAGCAACAACTTAGATCATCTATAAATGCGATGATTACTTTATATTATTTTTCAAATATCTCCGAGACGACCGCTTTGTACCTTTCATTCTGGTCCTTTCCTGTTTTTGTTTTAGGAAAGTAATGAGTGGAGAGGAATCACGAAGAGGTTCATGGAGGGGAGGAGGTAGTGGTGGATGGAGAGGAGGGGGAGGAGGATGGAGAGGAGGAGGAGGAGGTGGCGGATGGACAGGAAGAGGAGGAGGATGGAGAGGAGGGGGAGGATGGAGGGGCAGACCATGGCGAGGTGGATCGGCAGGTGGAGGAGGGTGGAGAGGGGGAGGTGGTGCTGGGGAAGGAGGATCAGGGAACCAGACTTTCAGCAGCCAGAGAGGTGAGCTTGATATCATTTTCCTTTTTACGAAACCTTTGCAGGACTGGTGTGATTTGTATAAAGTGAGGTGGGCACATATGGAATAATAGCATTCAATATTCTTACCAAATGTGTCATCATTTACAATCCTTCCCCAGCGCTTTGTCAGGCGACTCTCGATATCGTGTGTCCGTACAGAGGATGGAGGCTGTACTTCACAGAAGGTCGGTCTCTGTTTCACATGATGATGCTCTAAATATATGTTTGTATTTATATAGATATATAAATACATATCCACATATCATGATCATGACAACGTAGCTCCTCTGTGATGTGTCTTAATACGTCCTCTTCGTGTGCAGGCTTCATAGAGAGCTCACCTAGTGTGGAGAAGATCAAAGTGTTTGAGCAATATTTCACCTCAAGATTGAACTCTACGACAAGGTTGTGTACCTTTTTGCATTTAACAAATCGACCACAAAAGTACTATTTTCAATGTTTCTTTACTGTTTCTTATGTCTTTCTTAAAGCTGAGTTATTGTGTGTTGGCCCACAGGATGAGATTGAGCGTCAAGGCAGTGTTCTGGTAGATTACGCAGACTTGACTGGAGACGAATCGGTGCGTGGAGCGCTTCCTAATCTCTCCACAGAGCTGAAGGAACAGCCGGACGTGATACTCAACTGTTTGGGTTTGGCCGTTCACCAGGTACACACACACACAGTAACAACAGACAAACGTGTTCCAGCCTATTCATACAATCTATGTGCAGAATTTCATGACCGTTTAAAGCAGCTTTGACAGAACTTTAAGTGATCTGTGCCACCGTTGACTGAAACTCTCCTCTTAGCTGTAAGAGTTCTGTGGAGAGGCGAAGCAGCGAGGCGTCAAACACCCGGCTGAGTGGTTGTGTCTTTCCAGGTGTTGACTCTAGACCTGGAGAAACAGGCGGCCGGCCTTCAAGGGGAGGAGCTTCCTGTCGCCACACCGATCGTCAACATCCCCCACATCAGCGCCAGGTAGTGCTCTCACACACCCGGACCCGGTCGCCTAACCTTCGACCTCCCCTCCCCCCCCGCCCAGCGTGACTCTCTGCGCGCGACTCGTCCGCAGGCTGTACAACTACGAGCCGCTGACCGCGCTGCGGATGCTGCGTGCCAGCGCGTTCGGCCGGCTGGTGTGCGTGAAGGGGACGGTGGTCCGGGTGAGCAACATCAAACCTCTGTGCACCAGGATGGCCTTCAGGTGTGTGGGCGGCTCGCACGTGCAGTCCCTGCCGCTGCAGCACGGGAAGTACGCCGCTCCTACCAAGGTGTGAGCGCGCGCTTTGTCTGCACACACGACCCGCTTTGTCTTCACTGCTTTGGTTTTACAGACGGATTGTGTTTTTTTTATCACGCAGTGCCTCGAGCCCGACTGCCGCGGCCGCTCCTTCACTCCGATCCGGACTTCCCCTCTCACCCAGACTGTGGACTTCCAGATCATCAAGTACGTCGGCAAAGTGTCGTTGCGGCAGGGTGAAAGTGGAACGTGTAAGAACGTAAACAGTCGGCGTTCATGAACGCCGTCTGAAGTCGTTTTGCGTCTTCAGGGTGCAGGAGTCGATGGGCGGAGAGCAGAGGGAGGCCGGACGAATCCCGCGCACCGTGGAGTGTCACCTGACCTCTGACCTCTGTGACAGCTGCGTCCCCGGAGACGCAGTCACCGTGACCGGCATAGTTAGAGTCACTAACGATGGTACACAACACCCTGAAACACACACACGCTGCCTGAAGTTTGAGGTTAAGCTTTTGCCTTTTTGATATTTGTTAAGTAAATGTAAAAGAGATGTTCATTTTCTGTACTAATAAAATGTATAAATTGCTATAAACTTTTTTTTTTTCTGCGTGGAGGGACTTCCCGGGCCAACAAGGATCAGTGTATGTTCCTCCTCTACATCGAAGCCACTTCAGTCAGCAACTCTAAAGGTATCAACGCTTGTGTGTTTGGATCCACGCAGAGATGTTAAGTGTTGTGTGGGCAGAGCCATAAGTTCTTATTTCTCCGTCTTTAGGTCAAAGGTCCAAGTCAGGTCAGGGGTCAGATGGGTCGCATGAGGATCGTGGAGGGGAGGAGTTCAGTCTGAAGGAGCTGTATGCCATCCAGGAGATCCAGTCACAGCCAGACCTGCTGAGGCTCATAGTACAGTAAGACGTTTATTACCCAATGTGCGTCTTACTGTCTTCTTAATTTTCCAGCGTATAAAAAAAAATAGTTTTGACCTTCTGACCTTCTTCCTTCCCTCAGCTCTTTATGTCCCGTCATCTACGGCCACCTGGTGAGTTTCACGATAAGGTCACACGGCGATCTGTGATGTCATTCACACCCGCGTGTTCTGTCCATCAACCCCTCTTCTTGTTTGTCCCAAAGCTGGTGAAAGCTGCTTTGTCCTTGGCGCTGTTTGGGGGCAGACAGAAGCACACGGACAAGAACAGCGTCCCGGTCCGAGGAGACCCTCACATCCTGATGGTGGGAGACCCGGGACTGGGGAAGAGTCAGATGCTGCAGGTGACCAAGAAAACACACTGGACACCTTCAAATGGAGCCCTTTTTTTTGTTCCTCTTGTAATCTCTTTGCCTTCGTAAAACAATGTATTGCTAATACTTGGACATTCTCTGTGTCTTGTGTGTAGGCAGTGTGTAACGTGGCTCCCAGAGGAATCTATGTATGTGGCAACAGCACAAGCACCACAGGTAAATCCTCTTAAAGAGCAATGCTGCCGGTGAGGCAGTTTTTCAGGTCTCAAAATCAAGTTGTGAATTAAATGTTGGGTGTTTGCTTTCGTAGGACTAACAGTGAGTTTATCCCGAGACTCGGGGACCGGGGACTTTGCTCTGGAGGCCGGAGCCTTGGTTCTGGCCGACCAAGGTAGGAAAGACAGTCTTACAAAGTTAGGGAAGCAAGACTAAAGTGAGTATAAAATAATGAGTGAAACATACAGATAGCCATGAAGAGAATTATCTACTTGGCCCCCAGATGTCCATTATGGATCAGGCTCTTGTTTGAAGTCATCTACACATACAAGTATGGTGCGGAACAGACCTTGAGGTGGTGTTCTCTCTTTGTTTGCGTTCTCTCCTCCGGGCCTTGTTCCCTTTCCGTCCTCTGCCCTCCGTCGGTTGCCTGCCAGGCCTGTGCTGCATCGACGAGTTCGATAAGCTGGGCCACCAGCAGCAGGCTCTGCTGGAGGCCATGGAGCAGCAGTCAGTGAGCCTGGCCAAGGCCGGGATAGTGGCCTCCCTGCCCGCCAGGACGTCCGTGATCGCCGCTGCCAACCCCATCGGAGGACATTACAACAGAGCCAAGACGGTGTCCGAGAATCTGAAGTAAGCTCAACAGCCCGGAAGGATCTCGCCGCACATGCCGGATGAGCGCGCAGGTGGTTTATTCGTACTCACAGTTTGGCCTTCTCGAGTTTAGAATGGGCTCGGCGCTGCTCTCTCGATTCGACGTGGTCTTCCTCCTCCTGGACATCCCGGACGAGACGCACGATCGGCACCTGTCGGAATACATCATGGCCAACAGGGCGGGAAAAGGCCGGGCTAGCGGCGCCACGGTGACCAGGGCTCCCAGTGCACTGGAGACCTCCATCCTGCTGGATCCCAGTGACATGCCGCTGTCCGAACGCCTGCAGGTGGGAACACTCGACGAGCTCAGTGAGATCTTTCGTGTGCAATTGTAATAGAGGTACTGTGTGTGCATCTGTGTCGAGGTGCCGGCAGGTGAAAGCGTGGACGCCATCCCGGTGCCTTTGTTGAGGAAGTACATCAGCTACGCTCGTCAGTACGTCCAGCCGTCGCTCTCCCCCGAAGCGGCAAAGACCCTTCAGGCCTTCTACCTGTCGCTGCGAGCTCAGGCCCACTCTGCCGACTCCACTCCCATCACCACGCGGCAACTCGAGTCGCTGATCCGACTGACCGAGGCACGGTCGCTTTGTGTGGATCGTCTTTTAGTTTTCCCTTTTCACTACTTTTATACTCATTTTGTTGTTTTTGTGCAGGCCAGAGCCAGACTGGAGCTCAGAGAGACGGCGACCAACAGTGATGCTGAAGACGTGGTGGACATCATGAAACACAGGTGACCAACAGCTATTTGAATGAACACGCTAATTGTTATCGCAACAAGACCATTCGCTGTTTTCTCTTTAAAATGTTAGAAAAAAATTCACAAGTCAAGCCTTCGATTTGTCATTAACTTTTAATCTTAAAAACATTTGATGGTGATTGTGTGTCTGTGTGTGATTGATTTTGTGCCTCAGTCTGGCGGATACGTACTCGGACGGTCTGGGGAATCTGGACTTTGAGCGCTCTCAGCTGGGATCCGGCATGAGTCAGCGGAGCGCGGCGAAGCGGCTGGTCAACGCGCTGCACCGGCACGCCGAGAGGACCAATCAGACGCAGTTTGACCTGCAGACGCTGCGCTCCGTGGCCAACAGCACGAACGTCAAGGTGAGAACGCACAGCAATGACGGGAAACACACGAGGTACCCCGATGGACCGCGTTTACATCCACGTCGCTCACTTTGTTCACGGCTGCGTGCAGCAGGACCTGTGACGGGTTAATTGAGCCGTTGGTGTCCTCCTCCCAGGTGATGGATTTTGAAGGCCTTGTGAGTTCCCTGAATGAACAGGGTTTCCTCCTGAAGAAAGGAGCCAAGCTCTACCAGCTGCAGACCGTCTGAGCCTCCCGGCAAAGGTCAGTGTCCTGGGATCAGTGAGCGGGGGCTTTTTACATAGAGAACCGGCCCACATTCACCAAACCACCAACCAGCCCCCCCACTGTGAATCCTTCCTGAAGAGACTCTGAATCACCACAGTGACGGTACAGAGACCACCGCTTGCTGTCGACTGACATCTCGGCTGAATTGGTCTGCATCTGTTGTCACAGAAAGAGCTTTAAACTAAACATGGTATTAATTATCATGTTTGTATCAGTCAGGTGGGACTACAAACGTTTCCTTTAGTGCAAAACCTACCAGCTGGTTTACAGTCAGGTACAGTTCTCTTTCAGTGTACATGTATTATTACACAGTACATGGTTACAGAATTAAACAGCAGTTGTAGATGAAGTCAGAGACAATGAATGGAAGGTAAAGAATACATAGATGACTATAATCTTGTTTCAATGTACATAAAATGACACGTTTGTATAAATTGGTATGAATCGGTATAAAGCCTAATAGGATAAATGCTATTTGCACGGTTGCTTTGGAGCAGTTTTATGTTTTGTCTGTTTTCAGCAAAAAGGTATCGGTTGCGTTGTCTCTAAGCTTTCTCAAGTTTCTGATTACTTTTTGCAGGTGCACTTATCAGTTAATGTCAACATATTGTAATAAATAACTTTATTTCTCTGTAAATTCAAGTGTTTTGTGTTTTTTATGCCGTTAACATTGATAAAAGTTTACTTTTTAATTGAATTACCAGAATAACTTAAAATATTTACTTTTTTACTATCAGCCTAAACGGTGTTTAACATTGTGTCATTCTACCATTTGATAAACGCTTTATGACGTGGCGACTTTCTTCTGCCGAAAATAACCGATCTTGTATTTTCAAAATAAAAGTCTCGGATTTTACGACGTTGTATGCGGCGTCACTTTACGGCAGCATGGCAGCCCGCTGTCTGGCGCTGTGATCCCGTCGGCTCTGACCGCCAGAGGCTCAAACCCGGTCATGAAAACGGTACCGGGACAATGATGATGTGCTTGCGGAATGTTTCCGGGCCGTTGTGGCGCAACGCGGCGACGGTCCGCCGCCTCGCGTCCGCCGGCGCGCTTCCGCTCCGTGTCGCGGCGTCACGGCGCCACGCACCTGCCGCCGACTACGCGCCGTTAACGCGCTCCCCGGTCTGCGGGGGCCTCCTGCGGCTCAAAGGGGACGCTCTCCCGCACCGGGGAGGTCACGGGAGGTCGGCGGCCGGTCTCCGGTCCCCGCTGCTCCGCGGCGCGCGCGGGCTGTGCAGCGGCAAGGCCGAGGGGACACCGGACAGCGCGCGGCCCGGGGACCGGAACCAAGGCGGCGATCCGCTACCGGGAGAAGGGCTCTTCAAGTTCAAAGAGCTGGTGAGTACCGATCAGCAATAAAACCACGTGACACTAAAGAGGTCCAACTGTTCTCAGCAGGAAGCTACATGCAATAAACTGTATTTACTATATTTAATCACATCAACCAAGTGGAGCTACTTCAGTATTACATCTAATAAAGGAGAAGTGTGAAGGGGAACAAATGGAAATGTGCACAGGAAGTAAATCCTTCCTCAGCTGATCAGCTGATACAAAGTACAGAAGTACAGAAAGGGGAAGGAGTTAATATCTTACAATCATTGCGTCATAGTTTTGTTCACAGGAGAGAACTTTTTTAGGTGGTGATTTCATAACATTGTAATAACACATGTGTATATATTGTGTGTTCCTTTCGTTTGTTTTTGCAATTAACTGATATTTCATTACATACTTTTGTAACCACCTATTTTATCTTCCAGTGTTTTAACTCATCAATATTGTTGTTTACGACGAGGGGAAACACGAGCTCTCTTTATCTTTCAGAAGGTTCAAGCGGATTTATCTTGTGATTCATCTCTTTGTGTTGACGTTGCTGTACGAACCCCCCCGAGGATCCACAAAGCAACGGATTTAAATCTTCTTTTTGTTTTTCTTCTACAGTACGAGAACCCGTGGACAATCCCCAACTTCTTGTGCGTGTCTCGGATTGTGCTGGCCCCCTTCTTGGGCCACCTGGTGATCCAGCAGCACTTCCACCTCAGCCTGGCTCTGTTCACGCTGGCCGGCGCGACCGACCTGGTAAACAGACGCCCCACTGGCTCCCGCCGCGTTTGTTTTTAAAAACGCCCTTCCAACGTGAAATGATCTTTCAGAACGTCCCTGTCCCCTCCCCCCTCCACCCCCCTCCTGTCCCTCTCTAGTTGGACGGGTACATCGCCAGAACGTGGACCACTCAGAAGTCGGCGCTGGGCAGCCGCTCTCGACCCTGTGTCCGACAAGATCCTCATCAGCAATTTTGTACGTCAGCCTCACGTATGCCGAGCTCATACCAGGTATTCTGCTGCCAACAGTCCCACCGTCGAGGGGAAACCATCCCTCAAAGGTCTATTATTGTGTTTCGATGGTCTCGCGAATGCAGTCGTTTGTTGTGTTGTAGCGCCGCTGACGGCTCTGGTGATCTCCAGAGACGTCGGGTTGATCGCTGCCGTCTTCTGGGTCCGATACAAGACCGTGCCGCCGCCGGTGAGACGCCCGCACGCTTCCCTCCCAACGCACACGACAATCCTCGCACAATTTAGGCCGTGAGAGGAACAGCAGAGGAAGAATGATACGCACTTAACAATCGCTCGCTCTCTCCGTGTTTCACCCAGGTGACCCTCAGCAGGTTTTTTAACCCCTGCTACACCACAGCACAGCTCAAGCCCACACTCTTCAGCAAGGTGACGCACACAGACACACACACACATTGTGCACTGAACGTTCTGCACATTTCTTTACTTTTTGCACCGATGGAGCCTCACATTCGGATGTCAGGGGAAATGGTTACCTGTCGCTTTACGGACACTTGTCTCTGTCTTTGGGGTGAAAATGGGATTGAAGGATTCTCAAAGTGCAGAAGTTGATCCGTTGAGCTGATATATAAATACGCTGTTTCCTCGACACCAAATATAAATGTCTCAAACTGCGCGAAAAGGATCGAAAGGAGACAGAAAGTCATTACGTTCATCCATGTTCTTTTATTTGAGATCATATTCAATTGCGTCACGCCAGAGAAGCAAGTTGTGTGTAGATCTTTTTGTGGTGATGATGATGATGATGATGATGATGATGGTTTTCAGGTGAACACAGCCATCCAGCTGCTCCTGGTTGCTTCCTCTCTGGCTGCTCCCGTGTTCCAGTACACCGACAGCGTGCTGCTGCAGTGCTTGTGGTAAACCTCTGACTTTAATACCCGTCACCTCTTTTGTTTTGTTTTTTACCTGCAGTGATTACAAGAGGAAACATTTTGTTTTTCCCTCACAGAGAAACACTTGATTGTGTCAAAGTAACCAATATTTTTATGCAAATTCTGCAGATTGTTGCAAATGAAACAAAAAAATGGTCTGGTTGAATATTACATGAATTAAACATTCAAAACAATGATGCCGTTAAAAACAAAACTATATTGAATTCAATGGATATTGTTTTCTGATTATTTGTCTTACTCCCGTATAATGACGGACACAGGTGGAAGCTGATTAATCAATATTGATTGATTGGCAAAAAATGATCCCGTCGACATTAATAATAAACTAAATAGACCATGTGTGTTCTGCATTATTCATATTTCAGGTACATTACAGCGGTGACCACGGCAGCGTCCGGCTACAGCTACTGGCACTACGGCCGCGAGACTGTGCGGGTGCTCAACACCCGGTCGCCGTGACGGCCGCGCCGGACAGCACGCCGGAGGCGGGGGAGGCAGAGACACTGACCGGCCGCATTCGCCAGGAGCTTTGTACCAAGTAGTTGTGACAACCATTTACGAGTCGCCATGGCGACGACACACGGTAACCAACCAAGGCCACAGATGTCTCTCTGCGGCGCCACAGAGACGCTCTGCCACTGGACCGGCTGTGGACGAGAGACGGACACTTTAAACCCGCAGACAAAAATAGACCCGCCCCCCCCCCCACACACACACTAAGATACATGTGGAGTATATGTCAAGTAGTCCGGCTAAAAGCTTCTATTGTTGTTTTTTCATTGGAGGTCACAACATCAACGTGATTGTCATTTTTGTAGACCGAAAATTCATGATTAAATCGGAGACCCTGCGTTGGTTCGTCTGTGTGTTTGTGCATGTGACTGCAGGGCTGGTTTTTTTTTTGGGGGGGGGGGGGGGGGACACAGGTTTGATCTCACGAGACACAAATCCGTCGATCCGATCAGCAATTAGAGGATTAAAAGGAGTGTATGAATTTGCGATGACATGCCGGTGTTGCACAGGGCCGACCCGCCGTCCCGGCCCTCATGTCTTCATGCTAATGCTAGAGCAGCAGATGATCTGTATTTAGTGGAGAGGAATAAATTATACTAATAATATAATGATCAGTTTATAGAATTCTTACTAGCCTTGTACATTTTAAATCTCTCTTTCTAAATTAAACATAAAAAAGGGGCCTTGAATCGACTCACTCCAGATACTTCAGTGATAAAACCTGAGATAAACTAACCAAAAAAAGGAATGTCTGAAAATGTTAAAATCAATGAGAATATACAACAAACCAAATTAACAATAGATCCCACGTAAGGCAGCCAGCTCCATGTGATGACCTCAGAGTCCCCAAAGACTTTAAACAGGTGAGCTCTTACTCGGGTGCACGTTGCTCTTACTCGGCTGCACGTTGCTCTTACTCGGCTGCACGTTGCTCTTACTCGGCTGCACGTTGCTCTTACTCGGGAGCACGTTGCTCTTACTCGGGAGCACGTTGCTCTTACTCGGGTGCACGTTGCTCTTACTCGGGTGCACGTTGCTCTTACTCGACTGCACGTTGCTCTTACTCGGCTGCACGTTGCTCTTACTCGGGAGCACGTTGCTCTTACTCGGGAGCACGTTGCTCTTACTCGGGTGCACGTTGCTCTTACTCGGGAGCACGTTGCTCTTACTCGGGACCACGGTCCTCTTACTCGGCTGCACGTTGCTCTTACTCGGCTGCACGTTGCTCTTACTCGGCTGCACGTTGCTCTTACTCGGCTGCACGTTGCTCTTACTCGGCTGCACGTTGCTCTTACTCGGGAGCACGTTGCTCTTACTCGGGTGCACGTTGCTCTTACTCGGGTGCACGTTGCTCTTACTCGGGTGCACGTTGCTCTTACTCGGCTGCACGTTGCTCTTACTCGGCTGCACGTTGCTCTTACTCGGGTGCACGTTGCTCTTACTCGGGAGCACGTTGCTCTTACTCGGGAGCACGTTGCTCTTACTCGGGTGCACGTTGCTCTTACTCGGCTGCACGTTGCTCTTACTCGGCTGCACGTTGCTCTTACTCGGCTGCACGTTGCTCTTACTCGGCTGCACGTTGCTCTTACTCGGGAGCACGTTGCTCTTACTCGGGTGCACGTTGCTCTTACTCGGGTGCACGTTGCTCTTACTCGACTGCACGTTGCTCTTACTCGGCTGCACGTTGCTCTTACTCGGCTGCACGTTGCTCTTACTCGGCTGCACGTTGCTCTTACTCGGGTGCACGTTGCTCTTACTCGGGTGCACGTTGCTCTTACTCGACTGCACGTTGCTCTTACTCGGCTGCACGTTGCTCTTACTCGGCTGCATGTTGCTCTTACTCGGCTGCACGTTGCTCTTACTCGGCTGCACGTTGCTCTTACTCGGCTGCACGTTGCTCTTACTCGGGAGCACGGTCCTCTTACTCGGGAGCACGGCCCTCTTACTCGGGAGCACGGTCCTCTTACTCGGCCTGCACGGTGCTCTTACTCGGCTGCACGTTGCTCTTACTCGGCTGCACGTTGCTCTTACTCGGCTGCACGGCCCTCTTACTCGGGAGCACGGCACTCTTACTCGGCTGCACGTTGCTCTTACTCGGCTGCACGGCCCTCTTACTCAGGTGCACGTTGCTCTTGTGCGATGAGGGAACCTTTTCCTGCCTCCCACTTACTACCCGCCGGTTGTTTGTTTGTGATTCATTAGCGGCCGCGTGCTGATGAGCGGCAGGTTGTTATTTCGTGGCCTTGCGTGGGATGCCACACATTTTATTATGAATGATTGGAAAAGGCTCATTGTGAAATGAGACCTCCATCGGTGGGAGCAGCTCGATTCGTCGGCTCACTAAGTGGTCGCGCGTAAAGAAGTTGTGGCGGTTTTTACTAGATTTTCCTGGATTCTCCGTGTTTGGAGAGGACGTCGCCCTGCAGGCTTCTCACGCCGCGTTTGGGCAAAGTGGTTTAATTAGCAGCGCCTGGGAGATGAAAGCTCAAAATAAATCAAACCGCTCTTTTGTTTTTACAGCTCTCAGCGGTGAACTCGTGCTGAAAAGATATCGACGGCCTGCTTTGTTTTGGTTAGGTGTCTTTAAATTGCTTTAGATCATAAAAGATCAATGCACGAATCCAAGGTGGAATAAAATATTATTCCAGAACACAAGATGCAGTAATATTCAGTTTATTTACTCATCATTCTAGTTGAGATCCATCACTTGGTTTGTTGCCGTCACGGGTTGAGTTCATCACACGGTATTTGGTGGCGTGATGTCGCAAATCCCTCCTGTGATTGACAGGCGCTGTACCCCACTTCCGTGTGAGACAACAGGAATCAAACCTGCTGAGCTTTTACATTTTAACATGTCAATATAATAAATAACACAATTATGTCACCGCGCATTAAAGGACACAGAAATGTGATGTGATTCAGCTGAATCACCACTAGATGGAAGAACGTTGTGAAAAACATGATTTCATGTCCATTACCTTGTTCCTGTGTTTTTTATATATATATATATATATATATATATATATATATATATATATACATGCTGCTACAGTTTTCTACTTGATTAAAAAACAAAAAAAACGGTGACTATCTAAAAAATATAGATAAAATAGATTTAAATAAACTACTTACTACAACTACCTTCTTAGAGACCTTTTCCCCCGTGACATCACCACGATCAATATACTCGTCATGAAAACCATCTCATGTAAAGGTATTGATCACGTGTGTATCAGTCCGGCGCCGGAGGCTGTGACGTCAGTCCGAGTCCCGTAACGCGTTTTATTGTCCCATCGAGCCTCTCGGCCTTCGCCGTAGCGGGTTTGTCTTCCTCTCCGTTGGTCCTCTGCCGGTATTATGTAACCGAATCAGATGTGGGTCTCCACACTCCACTTTGAGGACACGAGGCGTGTTTGGTTTGATCAGTGATCGGGCTCTGTCCTGTTGGGGACCATGAATGTTTTTCGTGTCCGTCCCGTTGTTTGAGGAGACATTATAGACAAAGCGTTAGAAGTTGTCCAATAATTGCTCCGCTTGTCCTCTCAGGCAACGTCCTTCCTCTGTGTTGCTTCCACTAAACACCCTCCAACGGTTGTGTAAGAAATGTGTCTCTGACAGGAAGTCGTGGAGCCTTAAACGGCCTCCACATGACATCAGTCAGAGCCGGGGGGTCTCTGGGGGCAGAGAAGGCTGCAATTAATAGAAGGGGGCTGCGGGTGCACTCGACACGTCTGGTGAGCTGCAACAAGTAACACGTGGGCATTTCTCCAGTTGCTACGCAGCTCTGTGGGATCGCTGGCTCTTTTTTACTGTGTGCGTGTGCGTGTGTGCGTGTGTGTGTGTGTGCGTGTGTGTGTGTGTGCAGCTCTGGGGTTTGAGTGAACGCGTCGTAGGAACAGAGCGTCTCTGAGCCAAACTTCACCTCAAACTTCACTGGTTATGAAACCCATTGAATCAGAGCCCTTATAGTCCTACACACACACACACACACACACACACAGCTGCACCAATACAAATCCATATGGGTACCATAGCCACGCACACACACACACACGCGTCTTTTTGGGTCCTGAAATAGCTCTCAGCCTCCCACTCCCCCTTATATAAGCTCCCAGCACGGAGATCTGCTGGTGAAGACTGAAGTGTGTGTGTGTGTGTGTGTGTGCCAGTGTGTGGGCAGTAGGATTGTCTTGAATCTTGTGTGTGTTTCTGTCAGCAGCTTCCTGCTGGTTGTGCAGCGATTAGTAAAACACATTCTTGAAGGGCAAATTTTCCGTCCTTGTTTCTGCAGTTTTGGCCGTCGTCGTCGTCGTCGTCGTGGCGATGGCGCTGAGATTCTGTGGCATCACTAGAAGGCGATGTGTCGCGGGGAGCAACACATTGAGGCTGTGAAAAATGCAACTTCACGATGATTTTGACCTCAATATTATAGAGATGACCTTCTCTATATGATAGCTAATAATTGCTTTAGATAAAATGACTGTGGGTAAAAACAAAAACATCTAAATTTAGCTTATGAACTAAGAAGTAGTTCAGCCTTTAAAACCAGGAAAAGGCCAAAACACTACATCTCGATTTGAACAATATCCAGAATCACATCACGGCATCCGCGTCGTATCGATACGTTTGCTCGTTGTCCAAAAGCACATCGATAAAAAGGACTGCAAAGTTTATTTATTAAACCCTTGTGCTGCTCGTCCTGAATGTCTCCATTTTTACTCCTTTGGTCCCTTTTAACGCGGCGCCCCGAGTTTGTATCCAACAGTTTATTTTGGGATATTTGCCAGCGGGGCCCGAGTAACGGCGTCAGGTACCAACAGTATCGTGGCAACGTGGTTCTGTGCACGCGTCTCTTTGTGCGTTAAGAGTGCGCGCGCGTGTGGGAGAGTGCGTGTCCGCGGCGTGATGAGGTGTGTTTGTGTGTGAGTTAGCGTGTTCGCTGGCAGAGGGGCTGTTAGTTCTTGTGAAAGTGCACGTGCGGAAATCAATAGTTTGGCGCGTGCCAGCGCGTCGCCTCGCAGTCCAAGGTCGAGGTTCTGCAGAGTTCGGGGTCTAAAAGATATTTTTATATATTTTTTATTTCATTTTTTTTTATTGTTTTATTTTTTTTAATTTAATTTTTATTTCAATGGCATTTCTTTGACTCGTGGAATGTTGGTCGGACAGAAGGAGCAATTTAAAGACCTCAGCTTGGGCTTTGGTGACAAAGCAACATTCATCATTTGACATGTCGATCATCTCCTCTGATGGGAGCTTGTCAGCTTTCAGGATGCGTCTCTGACATTTCTGCATCCACTACAATGGAGACAAATGCATTATAAATGTATTAAAATCACAATTTTGCTGTTTGGGACTGGACTTAAAATTGCAAATTGCAATTTGCAATTTTAAGTCCAGTCCCAAACTTTCTAAATCAACCTCATTAGGACTCTTGGTGCTCTGAAACGGCTTCTTTCTGGACACATTGTTGCTGCTTTTGGCCCGTTTGCTTTTTAATGAAATACTGTTCCAATACTCCGTTATTTCGTCTCCAATGTCTCGCCCACTCTCCTCCGGCCTCTGTTATTATTAGTCGTTGTTTGTATTTTTAACCAGGCTTTATTGCCTGAGGTATGTGGACACCCTTCTACGTCTTTTTCTTTTTAAGAATAACCGGTTTCAACAAAACCGGATCCATCCAGACGATCGAAACCAATCCCGACGTGTTTTATAAGTCGCATTCATTTGATTATGTCAAAGGATCATTTATTTTCTTTCTGAATATATTTTAATCAGCAGCAAGATGTAGTTGCACCCGACGACGTCGCTCGAGATCTCTGAAGGTCAAAGGTCGACACTTTATTCGGTTACATTCACACACCTCTCGAAATCGGATGACAGGGTACGAACTCGCATACAAATACTGAGTAAATCATAAGAGCAACAAAGCGAACACGTGTCAGCGTCAGGAGGCACAACGGGAAGCTTCGCACAACAAAAGGAAAACAACAAAAAAAACACAATAAATTATACTGTCCATTTATTTTTTCAGGTTATTAATCGTGTCTCATTGTCAGCGTAAATATTCAATGTTTGTCACTGAATCACTTCCCTGGTCTGACCTCGGCTCCACCAACGCCGACCGCCTCGTATCGCCACATCTTAGAGTGGCCTCGTTTGACCATAACGATTTGTGTCACCCCCCCCCCCCCCCTCCCGCCCGCTCCCTCCTCCAGCCCTCTCCTCCGAGACGCCCACTCATCCTCTCACCCGCTCTTCATCCTCTCTGCTCTTTGTTTTTTTCTCCTCCCCAAACCTTCCTCCGCTTCTCTCTTCAATGTTTCTCCATCTCTCCCACTCTCTTCTTTCCTTCCCTCCCGGTCTCTCGCTCTCTCATCCCTCCCCCATCTGTGGGAAGCCGCGGTTGTGCGCATGTCGCCGATGAGTCAATTTGTGGAGGCAGAGCGCACACACACACACACACACAGACACACACATCCTGTCTCCCATAAGGCATCTGTTTCAGTCTGTCTCTCTGTGAGATGCAGCACCAACAGAGGAGAGAGACACACGGAGGGAGGGAGGGTTAAGAAAAGAGGGGTCGGAGACGCAGAGACACACAGAGACGCAGAGAGGAGGAGGACAGGGACGGACTGAAATAAATATTTTTTTTTTTGAAAGAGAAGACAAGTCCAACCAAGAGAGGAGGACACGTGAAGAGGATGCTGCTGCCTGACTTCTGAGGAGTTTGAGCTCGGACACGACAGAGATGCAGCATCCGAGTGTCTGAGCATCGTCCAGTTTGTGTGTGTCTGTTTGTGTGTGTGTGTGTGAAGCCATGGCGAGTGCTCAGCCGGGGGTCCACGCGTTGAAACTCCAGCCTCCCTTCGTCTCTCAAACACTGAGGAATGGCAGCAACTTCATTAAATGGGACGAGGTAAGGAGACGGATTTTCATTCAACAGCAGAAGAGAAATCCAAAGATCTTGACTGTTTTGGGGCTTTTTCCTTTTTATATAAACGCATGTTTTTTAAATATATTTTGTGCGATGACGGGCGTCTTCGTGTCCACTTGGAACAATCCAGAGGACATTGGAGGAAACATGGTGTCAGATGTGTTCATTCATTTGTTGATGGAGCTTTGGCAGCAAATACCTGTGGATTAGACGACAGCAGAGGCACACAGTGTGTGTCTGTGTGTGTGTGTGTGTGTGTGTGTGTGTGTGTGTGTGTGTGTGTGTGTGTGTGTGTGTGTGTGTGTGTGTGAGAGACGCTGTGGTGGTTAGCTTCTTTACCACCTGTTGGTATGGAATCCATATGCATTCAGTGTGTGTGTGTGTGTGTGTACAATGATATATGCATTAAACAAATACATGCAGAACTCTTTCAATGCGATCACATCAAACACACAATTGAAGGTATTTGTGCGCGTGTATGTGTTTGTGCGTTGGTATGCTGAAGTAAGGCGCCCTGACATTGAGAAACATGCTGTCTGGTTGCCATGGTAACAGGGATGGCTACCACTACCTAAACTGATTTGATGTGTGTGAGAAAGAATTGATTGTGCGTCTGAGTGTGTGTGTGTGTGTGTAAATCAGTGAATTTAGCTATGTGATATCATGAATCTTTCTTCTGGAATAAGTAATCCAATATACTGTTCAATCTAGTCACAATGATTGAACCGTGTGTGTGTGTGTGTGTGTTGATATTTGAATTTCTAAAAGTAGGTTTTATGCAAAGTAGAACTGGTTGCTATGCCAACGAGTGACAACCAGGGATGGGAGTTAACCATCTTCTGAGCTTCTTCCTCCAGTTTGTAACCTTCTGAGCGCACTGATCACGAGGGAAGCGGCTCCACACGCAACACAACACAACCTTTGTGAGCCACGAATGTCTTATATTTCTGTTTCCCCTGAAGAGACCCCCCCCCCACACCCGAAAGCGGAGATCAATATAATCTCAAAGTCAAGCAGCATTTCATGAGCTCTTTTGCTAAAGCTTCATTGTGTAATGCTTATTTGTTCCAACGCAGATGTTTGTATTCAGACTCATAACGGGTTTTATAGTTTTTATTGTGTACCTTCTCGCTTCAGGAGTAAACGCATGACCTTAACCAAGTGCTCACAGTGAAGCGTAATCATTTCAGTCACTTAGTTTAATATCTCAGTAATGTGAAGGTCAGAGGCTCAGAGAGATCCACTTGAAATGACCTATTGAGTTTGTTGTCGTTGTAGATGTGTGTACTTGGAAGAAGAAATGCATTAGCTTACAATATGTTTTATTTTGAAGCACTTTGTGCTGCGTTTCCTCAGTGAATGCTGCTACAATGTATTTAATATATATTTATTACTATAGTTTATTGCTTCTACACAGCCTGAGATCATTTGGCCCAAAAGTTCCATTCCGTCTGTTTGAAATCGAGAAACCGTTTTGTCGTGTAAAGTCGAGTTCTTATTTTTGAGTCGAGCTCGTAAACGGTCGCGGTCGGCGACATTCTCCTCCAGGCTTTGGGGCCCGATTGAGTCTCGTTGTGTGAATCGAGCTTCTGTCGGAAACACCAGGACAGCTGCGCCGCCCGAGTCCACCTGGAGCCAATTAGGAGCCGTCGTCGTGGCGGGTTACCATGGCAACAGCTGGATGTCACCACAACCGGACAGAAAGTTTGGTCGGGTTATTTATCGTGTGCAAATCACTCGGTGTTCTCCGACTGACGAGCTCATTTACAAGTAGAGGGTCCGTCTGAGAGGGTCTTTTTTTTTTTTTTTCAGGACAAAGCCGTTTGAAAGTTGCTTGCTGTTGCGGTGATGTTTCCCTCACGGGTTCCTGCCGTGTTTCTCCTTAGGATCTGTCCACCGTGACTCCAGTGACGCTCCACGTGGACCAGCACGGGTTCTACCTCTACTGGACCGACCAGAACAAGGTGGAGGCCGCTGACGCCGAGGCGGACGGGGCTGATTAGCAAAAGGATGGGGAACCGCTTCAGTTAATAGATGAAGTCCAAGTTTGACTTGATTCATATCCGAGTAGTCGAGTCTTTGAATTTTTTAATATTTGGTCCGACGGAGTTCTGAGTCAAAGACTAATTGCAGCCTACTTGCATAAACCTTTTATCTTACCTTCTTATTTGATGCACTCTTCTGCTAAATTAATTGACACTTGAGTGCAGGTTGCTTCTTCTTCAAATTTCCATTTTAAGTAAGACTTCATTTTAATACCTGAACCAATTAAATATTGGTTAGAACAGCTTTTAATTTGCTCTAAAGAATGAAATCTATGTAAAACAAAAAAAAGAAGAAAAAAAATCTCAATTTCCTTTTGGTTTCATTAAAAGTTGCAGCATAAAATGCGAGGCTTTGATTCTAAGGTTCTGCAGATGAACACCTACAAGAACTGCTCAGATATAACATGATCAAAGAGTGTAGTAACAACACACACAGACACGCACACAGACACACACACGGCCCCCCTGGGGGATTCAAATCCTCAACAGGAAACCGGAGGCGGCTCCAGCTGACCGTGTGTGTCTGCGCGCTGTCTTCAGGAGACGGAGCTCTTGGACCTGACCATCGTGAAAGATGTCCGAACGGGGCGGAGCACCAAAACGCCGAAGGTGCCGTCTGCTCTCCGAGCCCCCCCCCCCATGTGTGAACCGTTCAGTGCCCCCCCGCCCTGTATTGCTTCTCAGCGTCTTTGTTTTCATCGTGTGCTTTATTAATGGTCTCTTGAGGTGCATCATGCGTGTTGTTAATTACGTTCCCCGTCTGTTCCTGTCGCTCCCTCGGCGTTTTATTCTGTCCTGAAGAAATGGACGTTCACGTGGTAACGACGCAGGATGAAACCTCCTCAGACGCTGCAGGATTCCTCCTCGCTGAGGCTTTTCAGTTTGGGCAGAGGAGCCAATTACTAAAGGAACACATTAAGAGAACTGTAGAGAAAGTGTGAAACATGACAAGGCCCCGTTTTGTTTTGTGAGTACATCCTTCCAATGCAGAATAAAACTAATTCAAAGCGGTTAGAACTATTTGCACTAAATACATTTACATTCAGGGGATTAAATACATCACCAATCATCACCACGTGCGGCGTCAGCGTAGTAACATCACATGCTGTCCGACGCCGTCCAGACTCTCCCGCATAGGCAGACAGAATTAACAGGATTGTTGTTTTGCCGGTTTCGTAGTTCCTCCTCCTCCAAAGCTTTTGTCGCTCCGTGTCGTCCGACAGGAGACCAAGCTGCGGGAGCTGCTGGACATCGGGAACCTGGTCGGCCGCCTGGAGAACCGGATGGTCACCGTGGTTACGGCCTCGGACCTGGTGAACGTCAACCAGCTCAACTTCATCGCCTCGCAGGAGGACGAAGCCAAGGTGCCGCCCAAACTCACCACGGCGACGACGTCAGGGTGACGATGATGATGATGACGGTGGTGATGATGGTGGTGACGGTGGTGATGGAGTGTCATTATTATGCAGGTGTGGTGTGAGGAACTCTTCTCTCTGTCTTCCAACCTGCTGAGCCTCAATCTCAACAGAGACCAAAGTCTGTTGAAAGCGTGAGTAAACACACACACACACACATTTCCTCTCCAGTATATTTACTCGTCTGAGAACCCAGAGCCTCGTACGTCTTCCTCCTGCGTGCCGTAGAATCCCACATTCAGCGCGTTGCTGCCTGAAATACTCTCGATGCAGATTAGATGCGTGTTAATCCGCCGCTGACAATAATCCCCAGAAAATGGACAGTTTCCTCCGTTTTTTTTGTAACGTTTTTTGGAAACGGCAATGCCGGTGAGGTCTTTTTTTCAACAGCAAAGCTCAGGGTCTGTGACTCGTTTTTTTGAAGATTCACATTGGAACGTCATTGTTGGTAATTACGTTTTAAGAAAATGTAGCATCATTCGATTCTTGTCCATTTAATGAAACCGTTCCATTCCACGCTCACAGTGACTCTCTCTTTGTTTCAGGTACGTCCGGTTGACTCTGCAGCCCAACGCAGAGGGGAGAATCCCCGTGAAGAAGTGAGTTCCCCCCCGATCGCCTCCTTATCCGGCGGCTCTGTGTTAACGCCGAGGTGCACGCCCACAGCAGCAGGCGGCGGTCTGCGGCACGTGAGAAATGGCTCCGATAAATCCGTGGAGACGCGCACAGACCGAAACTTTGCTCTTTTCCCTGTCCCTTGCTTCCAAAATACATCTAATACACGTGCACTTGGGGAGCGAAAAACAGGGACAGGAATGGTCCTTAATTTCAGCACTGACCTGGTAATCAACCGCTGCCGGAGCACGAGGCGGGATGAAGCACTTGTGAAGGGCCAGGTGGAGATTTAGGAACGCCAGGGGGTGAGGGGGGGGGGTATCTCGGGAGTTCGGGGGGGGGGGGGGGGGGGGGGGGTTAAAGGGAGAGATTCTAATTTTGGGGGAAGAGAAGCCGCGGATTGGGGCCTCGGTTTAGATTGAGCCCCTTGGAAGTCTGTTTTCTTTTAAACCACCTTTCCATCTTTTTCTACAAAAAAGAAAAAAGGGGGAGACCCCCCTCGAGGACTTCAGACTGCCCTATGGACGGGTAATCGCTCGATGCGTGTCGTCCCAGTCAAAGGGGAGCCAGCCGGTGACACCGTGGGAAGCTGAAGTGAGAAGAACATTGTGAACAATGAAGCAACGCCACCAACCTCAGATATCGGGGTCATGAAGATGCGAGAAGGAAAACAAAAAAAAAGAAGAATTGTGAAAGTACACGAAAAAAGAGAGTAAACATAAGAATAAAAAAAATCTAAGAGTGTCAGTGTGAGCGTGTGTGTGTGTCCCCTGTGTCCGACAGGGCGACGGGATCAAACTGGAGGACTTAACGCTGGAGGTTTACAGGAGCTTTTTGGACAGTCTGTGTCCTCGTCCGGAGCTCAGCAACATCTTTAAACTGCAGTAAGTGTGTCTATGACCTCTGACCTCTGACCTCTGACCAGCTCAGAGACGTGTCGCTGTTAGATTAAACTGCTCGGCTCTTTTTTCCTTTTAACTGTGCTGTTATTTGCTTCGGGCTAATGTCTTGGATATGGGAAGGATGGTGAACAATGATTCATCTCCTGTCCCACGTGTGCACAGGCGGGATTAGACAGAAGCGCAGTGCTCATCGCAGTATCTTTTCATCTTAAGCCAGTTATTGATTCATCAATTGATTATTTTACCTTAATTAGTCATAAAACTTAGTTTTAGTCATTGCGTTTTCTTAAAGTTCTCGTCTTCCTCTCAATCATTTGGTCTGAACGCCGCGTGTGTTTGGGATTTTAAAAAACTGCAAATGCCACCGGCGACGTTTCGTGTGTCAAAAAACGCGCGTGAGCTTCACTCCGCTTAGATCGCCCGCGTCCTACGCAGGAAGACGACGACGACGACGCGAGGGCACGATGCCGCTGTGCGCGACGGCTTCCTGTTACTACCCTGTGACCTCTGACCCCGTAGAGGATGGGGCGACGGCACGCTGTCGCTCGACCAGATGACGGAGTTCGTCAACAACAAGCAGAGGGACCCGAGGCTCAACGAGATCCTCTACCCGCCTCTGCGCCCGGCTCAGACGCTCGCTCTGATGGAGCGGTACCAGCAGGACCCGGCCCAGCTGGAGCAAGGTGCACGCACACACACACACACACACACACACACACGGGCCGCAGGGTATTTGCTATTTCGTCGCTGTGTTCCTGAATAACGTGATGCCATTAGCTGGCCAGCTGCGTTTTTCTTCTTCTTCTTCTCCTCCGTCGGTACCAGAAATACTCCTCCACCCACACGGGGTGAACTGCTAAAAATAAGCCTGCTCACGTCGGGTGCCAGAATAAAACCCCTCGACCACGTCTTTCCTTTGTGTATTAATGAAGTGAATTCAATGGAATATTGTCGCCCCCCCCAAAATAACATTATAAAGCGTCATTAAGTGATTTTGTGAACTGGTTTGTGATTGGCTCGCTTTTCCATCACGCAGGCGTCATCACGCTGCAGGCGCTGTCCAGCTATCTGTCCAGTGACGAGAACGGAGTCATCCCTCCAGAAAAGCTGGATCAGTCCGAGGACATGAGCTACCCGCTATCCCACTACATCATCAACTCCTCGCACAACACCTACCTGACAGGTACACGCACGCCGTGAGCCCGCCTGTGTCGGGGGGGGGGGGGGGGGGGGGTCGCGGCGCCGCGGTAACGTCTCTCGCCCGTTGTGTTGCAGCGGGCCAGCTGGCCGGGAGCTCCTCGGTGGAGATGTACCGGCAGGTTCTCCTGGCCGGGTGCCGCTGCGTGGAGTTGGATGTGTGGAAGGGACGGACCGCCGAGGAGGAGCCCGTCATCACGCACGGGTTCACCATGACGTCGGAAATCCCATTCAAGGTGCGCGCATATAGTCGGGTCAAAGGTCGTTGTCGACCACTGACTGAGCAGCTACACGAGAACTTAAAGGCACAGCTTCTACGTACTTTACTCGAGTGGTTTAATCCCATTTGTTCTGCGACTTTTTGGTGTGAAAATTGCATTTTTGTTTTGCGTTTTTTCCAGGAAGTGATTGAAGCCATCGCAGAGTGCGCCTTCAAGACGTCTCCGTTCCCCGTCATACTCTCCTTTGAGAACCACGTGGACTCGTGAGGATCTCTGTCGTCATCCAGTGGTTCATGCGATCCGTTTTAGATTCTCCCTGTAACGCGTTCATCTCTCTGTCTCACCAGCTTGAAGCAGCAGGCGAAAATGGCTGAATATTGTCAATCTATTTTCGGAGACGCTCTGTTGATTGACCCTCTGGACAAATACCCCGTAAGTAACACAGACAGCGTTATATTAAACATTTGACTGCTGAATAATTGCTGTGTCTTTAGCTTTGACGGCATTCCATCTTTATGTTAGTGAGTGTGTTGTATTTATTTGTGATATTTCAGTAGCTTGAATCAAAGTGCAGCGTTACCCTGTGGGATGTAACGTGAGCTGGACCGGGTTTTATTGGATCTATTCCCGTTCGTTCTTTATCTTTTACGTATTACTGGGATATATTACAACCCCGTTCCCGCCGGTGGTGCTCTCATCTCCCGGCGTCTGTCTGCAGCTGGAGTCCGGCGTCCCCCTGCCGAGTCCTCAGGAGCTGATGGGCAAAATTCTCATCAAGAACAAGAAATCCCACAAACCCCCGAACAACACGGACGCCAAGCGCCCGGCGGACCAGCCGGCCAATCAGAGCAGCGAACCGGCGTTTCCTAGTAACAACGCCGGAGGTGAGCCGCCGAGACAAAGAGGACCTCTTCTCCTTTCAGCACGAGAGGCGCACGTGAGATGTTTCCGCGCTGACCGCCGCGTTCTCCGGGCTGCAGGAGCGGGAGTTTTTTCTTTTGAATCTTTAGAACTAAATCCACACGTATGTCCTCGCTAATATGAGTCACTGCCAAATTAGTTTGTGTTGGGTACAATGACGGCGGTGAAGCTCCAGTATTAACAATTTCTTTGTGTAGATTCAGACAGCCGAGCTTATTTTTACATATTTATTTAACAAATAAAAGGCAAGAGAGACGCAGATTTAGAGAAAGAGATCAAAATGTGACAAATAAGCAACGTTCCTTTTAAAAGGAACGCAGTTAAAGATTTAGCATATTACAAAAACATTTTTTCACTTAAAACATGAAGTTAAACGACGACAATCACCCAGAATGCGACGGCGCGGCGTCTTTGTTTTCCTCTCGCACCTCGCCGGGGGACGTCCCAGAGGGAGCTCTGAGGCTCAGAGCCGCGATTAACCGGCAGGACTCAGGGAGCCTGACCCTTGACCCGGCCTCGTGTGTGTGTGTGCGGCGAGAACCAATCCGACGGCCGTACGCAAAGAGCAGACTGTTCACCGCGCTGAAGTGCACACTCACGCCAGGCGGCCCGGGAAAACGCCTGAGTGGGTTGTTTACTCAACCACAGACGTCTGGTTCATATTCCGCTGAATTCCCCACTTGCAGTGGTTGATGTCAACTCAGATATTGTGTGTGTGTCAACTCAGATATTACACAGACACACACACACGCGAGTCTCCTGTCGCTTTGTTAATGGTCGGATCTCAGAGAAGGAATCATTCTTTTTCAGTGGTTTCTGTGGCTTTCTTGGGTTCGGGTTTCTCTTTAAAAATCTAAAATAAATACATTTTTAACATTCTATCGACTGATTTAACAGTCCGACATTCCTGCACGTGCGTTGGTGCATTTACAGTACATTATATAATTCTTCTTAGCGCTGATTCAGCGGCTTCGGGGGCGAGGAGACGATGGGGATGAAGACTTGTTTGACTTTAATTTTAACAGAGATCGAGGCTGAGAGCGAGGAAGAGGATGATGACGAAGATGATGATGGTAAAAAGGTCAGTGGTGACGTCGTACATCGCGGAGAGGCCCACTGCTGCCGCCGCCGCCGTCTGTCGATGTCCGCGAGTGTTTCATGGTTTCCTGTTATTCTTAATGCCATCGTCACAGTGAATCTTTTATGTGCCTCGGTGTTATTGTTGTCAAACTCTCGCCGCCATCTGTGCTTTATTTTTGCCGTCGTCTCAGCGGTGCGTCGCTGTCACCGCCGATCAATCTCGATCAATCTTGATGTGTATTGTTGTCTTGTTTTCTTGTCAGTGGGTCTGGGCTTCACCCACGCAGGCGATGGCGGCTGATTGTTCACTGGTTTGATCGAGTTTCCGTTCAAAAAAAAAACCCAACACTCCTCCAAACTTTGTTTTGATTGTCGCGTTGGTTTTTAAAAAAAAGAATATTTATTGCCTTGTCAAAAGATGGAGCCTACATTACCCACAATGCAACCACTGAAGGTTAGCGCAGGAGGAGCGGCCTGCAGAGGCCCGGTCCGCTCACCTTTCTGAGTCGAGTGACCTCACATGAGGCCATCAGATACTGTGCGCTGATATCTGTTCGTACACGTCTCACCTCAACGAAAAGCGCGGGTGAAAAGGCAATCTGGTAAAACACAGAACCAAACCACCAAAAATAACTTATGTTTGATCGGAATCCACCATAAAGAAGAAAAGAATGGGACAAAAACAAAGACTGTGCTGGTGTTGATGTTGTTTCGTCATTACGCGCTCCTCAAGTTTGCTGCAAGACAGAACTATGAAAGAGAAAGATGTGCATCTGTTGAACGTGTTCCCTCGCCCACATTTGTAAAGTGTGTGTTCTTCAACCCGTGACACTCAAACCCCTGAAACCTGACTGCTGCTGCTTGTTTCAGGGCTCCGCCGAGCGGGAGGCGGTGGCCACGGAGGAAATGTCAACTCTGGTAAACTACGTCCAGCCGACCAAGTTCAACTCCTTCGAAGCGTCCAAGAGTAAGAAGAGCCGATCCGAAGCCGACACTTTGAGACACGCAGACACTTTTTCCTGAATTTCTTGATATATATATATATATATATATATATATATATATATATTGAGGCTTAATATCGGGGCGCTTTGAGTAGCAGGAGGGTAATGTGGGAGGGGCAGGTTGCGTTGTCACTGCCAAGACGGCGACAGCTTTTCAGAAAACCTGTTGGTTCCATCGCAGGAACTACAACTAAATGTGTAGTTTTTCATTAAAAAAAATAAAAAAATCTAATTAAGGATCGATACAAACAGAAAAGGAACACGTTTTGTAAATTCACATCAAGTTTGATATTTCTTTTTGATATTTCTGTGAATCCTCCAAATATCTGAACATGATGAAGGAATCGTGTTGGAAAATATTGCTGAAAAATGTCTCCTTGGTGTGTGTGCGTGTGTGTGTGTGTGCGTGTGTGTGTGTGTGTGTGTGTGTGTGTGTGCGTGCGCGTGCGTGTGCGTGTGCAGAGGCAGGCCGCTGTTACCACATGTCATCTTTCGTGGAGACCAAAGCTTTGGAGCACCTCACAAAGTCCCCGGTGGAGTTCGTAGAGTATCCTTGGCAACGGTTACCGCGACTACGCCGCACCTTGGCAACCGCTTCCGTACTTCACGCTCCTCATCTTCCTCTTTTCTCTCGGGCGCTCTGTGAATTTTAATTTCACTTACTGCAGTTACTATCTAAGTAATATTCACATCACAACATTGGGACAGAACATGATTTAACTGAATCGTTTTCTTGACCTCACCTTGACCAGATATAACAAATCTCAGTTGAGTCGTATTTATCCAAAAGGGACCAGAGTCGACTCGTCCAACTTCATGCCGCAGCTCTTCTGGAACGCCGGCTGTCAACTCGTGGCTCTCAACTACCAAACGATAGGTGGGAGGATGCGAACGTGTGCGTTTTCTCGACACTCATCGATCGCATCCAAAGGTCGCTGCAAGTTCAACCACAGTGTGTTTCTATTTTAGTATTTTTAGAGGGTTGAACAGTTAATATTATCCACTGATTCACGAGTACAGAAGACGGCTCATAATATTATTACAGAAATAAGCCTCGCTTTACTTTCCCCCACATTTATTTTTCAAGTGATGCAATAATAATTTAGTGCAAAAGTGTTATGTTCAGGCCAGAGGTTATAAATATTTAAACCTGGTTATTGCAAACACTGCATCTTACTTAGTGGCTAAATTGACCCTTAAAGTAAAACTGATTGAAGACGTTTTTAATTCATTCAAATTGATTTCAAGCAGCCATTAGTGGCATGGTAGAATTATTCCAGTAACTGGATGTTCTTTGCTCATTTGGGCCTCTAATTGATGTGCCTCTCATTCATTTTTATTTGTTCGTAAATTGCATCAATTAAAGGTCTTTTGTTCACTGGCGGCACATTCAGTGCTCAGACCCAGACCTTTTAAAGGTGGCGTTTTTGTCCCAGATCTGTCCATGCAGCTGAACCTCTTCATGTTCGAGTACAACGGGCGGTGCGGCTACAGACTGAAGCCGGAGTTCATGCGGCGACCCGACAAACACTTTGACCCCTTCACAGAAAACACGGTGGACGGCATCGTGGCCAACACCCTCTCTGTGAAGGTACGGCCGTACGTGTCAGCTTGTCCCCTCCCCTCCCCTTCCCTCCCACCCGCGGGACATCCATTCCGTGTCCTCGTCTCCGTGTCCCGCAGGTCATTTCGGGCCAGTTTGTGACGGAGCGGCGGGTGGGGGTGTACGTGGAGGTGGACATGTTTGGACTCCCCGCGGACACCAGGAGGAAAGCGCTGAAGACCAAAACGTCCCAGAACAACAACGCCGTCAACCCGGTGTGGGACGAGGAGCCCATCGTCTTCAAGAAGGTGAGAGGAACGCGGGGAAGGATTCCAAACACCCGAAAACCCGCAAGCCGCTCGCCGTCTAATCCCAGGTTGTGACTTCCTGACAGGTGATTCTCCCCACTCTGGCCTCCCTGAGAATCGCCGCCTTTGAGGAAGGAGGGAAGTTCATTGGTCACCGGATTATTCCAGTTTCCGCCATAAGGCCCGGTGGGTAGCTCACGTTTACCACTGTGGTCCCCGACTCCTCTTCCTCACGCGCCTGCTCACGTTCATTACAAACTCCGTGTTCATTCTTGGGGAAGCGTTTGTTTTTCTCACACGCTCAAGACTTCCCAAAACGTATGCATTTTAGCTGGAGTTTAAATGAGGTTTTAATGAAGAAATTACCATTTTGTGGCTGATGTATTGCTTTAAAGTTAATTTAGATCTGTTTTTTGGTGCAAACTGCTTGTTTCTGTGCGGAAGTTTCCCTCCATCCTCTACTTTCTTGTGTTAATGCAGCTTGATGCTAGAAAACAGTGATTGTCTAAAAGTCTTTTCTGAACTGAGATTATGACAATTATGACTTTTAATGCTAATTAGCCCAAACCTTTATGCAGAAACCACCAGTCCTGCTGACTTATCTCCCCTCCGAGCTCCTGCTGTTTAATGGATCCCTGTCAAACGGTTTGCACAGACGTGCTGCTGGTTTGGAGAATGTCATTCAACCCTTTGAATTAAACTCATTTAATATGTATTTCTGTCTCTGCCGTCGGCTTCCTCTCGCGCCGCCCGTTCACCTTCCACGAGGGGACATCCGGCTCTGTGTTGACAAATGTCTCCCGTAGGTTATCGGTACATCAGCTTGAGGAACGAGAAGAACCAGCCTCTGATTCTACCGGCCGTGTTCGTCCACATCGAGGTCAAGGACTACGTGCCGGACACCTTTGCAGGTTGGACGCGCTCGCCGTGTTTACACGCGTTGCTGAAGAATCCTCCTGCTTCCCCGAGCTCGTCCCTGATCTCAATACGGCTTTGGTGGATCATCTATCCTAGATCTTCAAAACATGAGGCAACGCAAATAATTAATGATGACATGGGGAGTAATGATGCAGCATCGAGGATGATTTCAGAGCAGGATACTAAAGTCTTTGAATGAAGTAGAAGTAGCTGAATGTGGATTATTCATTGCATTGAAAGCTCCACCCGAGTAAAAGTGCATATTATTTAAAATACAAGACACTTATAAGGCAGAATGACCCATTTCAGAGGAAAACGCTAAATATGTTGTGTTATAGTTATTGACTCTTCTATCTAGACCCTCTGAAACACAGCTGGCACATCTGTCTTCCTCTCCACGTGTCCTCCCTAGATGTGATCGAGGCTTTGTCCAACCCCATCCGATACGTCAACCTCCTGGAGCAGAGGTCCAAACAGCTGGCGGCCCTGACCCTGGAGGACGTGGAGGAGGACCAGCAGACGGAGGTCAGCACCCCCCCGTCCCCCCCCCGGTCCCCGGTGTCTTTGTCCCGAGCGGAGGACGCTGGCTTGTGACTCTGGTTTCTGGTTCGGCTGTTGTTCAGGACGAGGCGGACAGCTGTGCAGAGCGAAAGAGCGACGTCAGACCGGCGTTGCTGGAGAACGGGCTCAGCCCCGCCCCCGGCCCCGCGGGCCACGCCCCCATGGCCACCACGCCCAAGGCTGCCGCGGCCAATCAGCAAGCAGCCGCGACGGGTGGGACGCATGAAAAGAAAATGTGCCGATGTTCTTCGTCCTTTTCGATTATTTAGGCCAAAAAAATCCCGTTGATGTTGTTTTTGATATTCATTTTCTCTGCATTTCAGAAGCATCCAAACCAGCTGCAAAGACTGAAGACCTGGTTTTAAGTGTTTTAATAGGTCAGTATTTTCATGGGTTTTGAAATACCAGCTATGTGACCAATCTGTTATTTTTAATTAGAGTACAGACAACTAAACAAACTAAATTGCTGAAGTTTATGATGAATGGTATATATACGGTATAAGCCATGAAGACATGGACGTGTGTGTTGTACGAACATTTTAGAAAACCCTAAAGTGCTGCATTCTCCTTGTAGCAGAACATCCTGCAAAGACATTTCAGTGGTGACTGAATTATTCATTGATAGACGACAAATGTGCGTATCTCTGGATCTCGTGGAGAAGCTGTTTTACAGATCTCTCGATTATGAAACATTACGAGATACATTGACAATCTGCTGTTCGATCACTCGCGGCGACAGACGTGCCGGCGTGCACCATCGAGGGTCTGCAGCTGTCAAAGGTTTACCAGAAGGAGCAGAGACGACAGTTCAAGGAGCTGAAGGAGCTGGTGAGGAGGCACCAGAAGAAGCTCTCCGAGCTCCTCCGGGAGTTCAGCAACAAGCACAAGAAGGTGGCCCGACAGTGCAGCAAGAGCAGGTACCCCCTCCCTGGACCGCCGCCGTGTGCGCCGCGGTTTCCTGCGTTTTTTTTTTCTTTTGTTCGATGCGCACGCGTACTCACGCTGCACGCGTTCTTCAGGGCCTCGTGCTCGCAGAGCGACAAAGACGAGCGCCTCCAGCAGCTGAGAGACGAGCAGCAGCAGCAGCTGCTGGCTCTGAGGCAGGAGCAGTACTACAGCCAGAAGTATCTACAGAGGGAGCACATCAAGATGGTAAAGCCCCAAAGTGTTGCGGGTCAGCGAGTGTGTTTTGAACGGGAGGGAAAAGCAGATATTGATAACGTTGTGGGCTTCCTCCGACGTGAAACGCAAACCGCTGGTTTCTGTCTGCAGCTGACGGAGCGGCTGAGCAGCCTGGCGGAGGAGAGCCACAGCGGCCAGATGAAGAAACTCAAAGACGTCTGCGATAAGTGAGTTACGAAGGTTGGACTCGAGTTATTCCTCTTGAGTGTTTGATTAAACAAACTGAACGTTATTCAGAGAGCTGCTTTCATGGGAGTCGCAGCTTGAGGTGCGTTTCCTTTCAATAAGAAGTCGGTTCAATATTTAATTGAAAAATGTAAAGAGAAATATGACATCTACAGGATAAATCCCAATAAAGCCCAGCAGCTCTAACTGGACTAACTGGTCATTAATGAGAATTAGAAACCTCGTGCTTTCAGACTTCGACACAGTCTGCAACCGATGAACGAAAACAAAGAAGAGTATTGAGGATCTCAACCGATTCGTAGTCGTATTCGTAGTTATAGCTGCTGCTCAGTCAGCTCTTCATAAGAGGAATTAAAGTCTCCCATAGTTAATATCTGCTGCTGAATATAAATATAATAAACCAAATCTTCTCCATGCAGTTTTTGAATCAGCCTGGAACAAAACCAGTGAAGCCCTCTAGAGGGATGAGTGCCAGAAAAATGGAATGTTTGTGTCTAAATATTTGTATATCTGAGCCGCGAGGGGGATCCAATGAGATATGTTTGGCCACAAGTCAACCTGACTCGTTTGTTTTGAGAGATCTCCAGTAGATCTTCTAGCAAGAATAATGTTTTTTTTAAATTTAATTGTGAAAAAAGGTTTAATGCCACAGACTCAGCAAGGTGCGTCTTTTAAAATACGACATTGAGCATCGTTTGTCTTATGCGTCGGTTCATTTTCTCCCTCCCGCTGCTCCCCAGGGAGAAAAAAGAGCTGAAGAGGCAGATGGATCGAAGGAGAACAGAGAAGATCAACCAGGCGAAGACCAAAGAGAAACATCTGGCTGAAGAGTACGACCCATGAACACATTTATAAATCCACCCTCGGTGGCTCTTTTATCTACTTCGTGCAGCCGCTCTTGTCAGATGAGAAAGAAAACCGTGAAATCCAACTCTGACTGTGTGTTTCCCAGGGAGAAGATGGAGATCAATAAGTCCTACGTCAACGAAGTCGTCCAGAACATCAAACGGGTGAGCGGAGGACGCCAACGTTCGCGGCGCTAACTCTCTGCCGTCTCCGAACCTTTAACCGTCCGCCCGTCTCTCTGTCTCCAGCTCGAGGAGACTCAGACGAAGCGCCACGACCAGCTGGTGGAGCAGCACACCGAGCTGCTGCAGGAGATCCAGGACCAGAAACCCAAGGTGAAATACAGCTCGTCTTCTGTCCGCGCGATGCAACGTGCCCTCAGAAACGGGTTGTGCGCGTTTCTGCGAGGTCTCCGACTCATTACCGGGATATTTCCCAGGTCCTGTGTTTGCACAACAATTTGGTCGTCGTGGCGAATGTTGGTATCTGCTGAAGGAATCAATCCGAAAGCCATCCGCCAATCAATGCGCGTCATGAACCCTTCGTGTGTTTCTCCAGCTGCAAGGAGCCGTGGAGGCGGAGTTCCAGGAGAAGTTCCAGTGTTTGCCCGGAGAGATCGAAGACTTCCTCCAGGACAGAAAGACGGAGGTCAGAGGTCACAGCAGGTCACGGCCGTCGACCCCACACGAACCTCTATCGGAGGAGGACTGAGAAGAAGAGGAAGAAGAGAGAATCGTTAAAAGTGCAAAGGATCAAAACACACGGGCGTAAGAGGGGAAACGTTGATGGAGGATGAGATCTCAAGAGCATGAGACTGTTACTTTTATTTCTATTTGAAAAAATGCTTAATGGATTAGTTCATTCCTGTCCAGCATGAACTTTGCTGTACTTAATCAGAACGCTTTTACTCTTATTTACCGTCATGTGTTATTTTGACAGGCGACTGAAACCCAACAGTTTGTACTGCATGACAACCCTATCTATCTATCTATACATCTATCTATACAGCTATCTATCTCTATACATCTATACATCTCTCTATCTAAACATCTATATCTCTATCTATACAGCTATCTATTCATCTATGCATCTATTTATCCATCTCTACATCTCTCTATCTATACATCTATATCTCTATCTATACAGCTATCTATTCATCTATACATCTCTATACAGCCATCTATCTCTCTATACATCTCTCTATCTATACATCTCTATACATTTATCGCTCTATCTATACATCTATCTATATAGCTATCTATCTATACATCTCTCTATCTCTCTATACATCTCTATACATCTATCTCTCTATCTATACAGCTATCTATTCATCTATGCATCTATTTATCCATCTCTACATCTCTCTATCTATACATCTATCTCTCTATCTATACATCTATATCTCTATCTATATATCTATATCTATACATCTATATCTCTATCTATCTATACATATATCTATCTATGTATACATCTATTTTTCTATATATCTATATCTATACATCTATATCTCTATCTATACATCTCTCTATCTATACATCTCTCTATCTCTCTATACATCTCTCTATCTATACATCTCTCTATCTCTATACATCTATATCTCTATCTATACATCTATATCTCTATCTATACATCTCTCTATACATCTATATCTCTATCTATACATCTATCTCTCTATCTATAGATCTATATCTCTATCTATACATCTCTCTATCTATACATCTCTCTATCTCTATACATCTATATCTCTATCTATACATCTCTCTATACATCTATATCTCTATCTATAGATCTATATCTCTATCTATACATCTCTCTATCTCTATACATCTATATCTCTATCTATACATCTCTCTATACATCTATATCTCTATCTATAGATCTATATCTCTATCTATACATCTCTCTATCTCTATACATCTATATCTCTTTCTATCTATACAGTTATCTATTCATCTATGCATCTATACATCTCTATACGTCTATCTCTATCTATCCATCATATATCTATCTTTCTATCTGAACACACTACTTTATATTCACATGTTACACAATGGGTTTATCTTCTTATTATCCGTCGTTGCCCTGACAACGTCTCGATGGTCAAAATCAACAACTGCAATAATAGCCATACGCTTACGGTATGAAGAGCAGCTGGTGGTTTTTCTTTGCTCAAGGGCAAGTCGGTGTCGTTTAACGAGGGAGAGAGACACTTTCTCCCCACTAAGATTAATCCGACACATCATGTTCGCCTGAAATTAGAAACTACAGTTGGAATTAGTGTTGCATTCAAAAAACAACACAGGGTGATGTGCAGAGCAGCACAATATGACACACACACACACACATAAGCGAGTGTAATGAGTCAATACAGTCATGGTTTTATGTTTTATCAATGCATCTAATGTCATTTCATATTTCAAGAGCACATATTCTTAAATTTATATAATATTATTTTTGTTCTTTAGGGTGATTGTTCATCCCTGAACCTCCACATATTTGAAGCTCATTTTCAGAATATTAATGAACATGTTGACATGGTGAATTAGTTAAAGGACAATGACACCGGCACAGTAAATATCTGTAATTATTATATATTTTACACAATTTATGCGATAGGCTGCCACTGGGTAATTTATTGAGTAGTTTTATTATGCACTTATTTATTTATTTATCAACTTATTTATTTAGGGAGAAAAAATTAATCTCAAACTTAAGTTGTTAGCAATTGTTAGCATGACTGTAATAGCTGGACTTTGACCCCAGTGATGTGTGAGGGAAGGACGAGGCGTTTTCTCAGAGAGACTATGGGCTGAATTCATCGTTTCTCGCCTTTCGTCCGACCGAGGATCCTTTTTTCGGGTCGGTAGCAGCGACGTGCGATCGGTTCCCGTCGGGCCTCCGGCCACCTGACCGGCGGTTTGATGACCTGCCAGATGTGGAAGTCTGCTGCCACTGCATGACTTATTTGTTTAGATGTGAACGTTGTTTTAACGCAGTTATCTCACTGATGATGTGTTTATTTATTGTTATTTTCATGATAATTAAGTCTCAAGAACATGAATCATAAGTTTGTGTAAAAATGTGAAACAAACGGAGCTCGTCGATCTTTTCGTACGGTGATCCTCAAGAAAATGTCAGTTGGAGGATTATTTTCATGTTTTGCTTTTCCTAAAGCTTCAGCTGTGTTCAACAACCCTTTTTTGCAGAGAACCGTTTCTTTACATTTAAGCCACTGACCTCACATCGGTTTCGCTTACACTACAATTCTAATGGCAATATTTAAGATTCAACTGCTTTGCATTAAGCTTCCTCCTTAAACATGTTTTAGTCTGCAAGATGGTTCTCCAACAAAGTGTCTTGTTGAGCGCACTCCTGCTCTAGTGAATAAACTGGGCATGCTTCATTGTCTTGGATTTCTCTGCTGGATTTCACTGAATGTTATTTTAAGATTAAAATGTTTGATCTAAAAAGAAAATGAGGGTTTTCTCTGGGTTTAAATTCCGTGTGTTGTGGTCCAACATCTCAGCCGGATTAAACATTTTTTGGAGAAGATGCACCGATGAGAAGAGAGGCGCTAATTGCTGTTGTCAAGTGACTTTGTGTCTGAACACGATGGCGGGGGCTGTGACAGAGAGGAGGTGCACTGTGACAGGAGGTGCACTGTGACTGACAGAGAGGAGGTGCACTGTGACAGAGAGGAGGTGCACTGTGACAGGAGGTGCACTGTGACTGACAGAGAGGAGGTGCACTGTGACTGACAGAGAGGAGGTGCACTGTGACTGACAGAGAGGAGATGCACTGTGACAGGAGGTGCACTGTGACAGAGGAGGTGCACTGTGACCGAGAGGAGGTGCACTGTGACCGACAGAGAGTAGGTGCACTGTGACTGAGAGGAGGTGCATTGTGACAGAGAGGAGGTGCATTGTGACAGAGAGGAGATGCACTGTGACAATGAGGAGGTGCACTGTGACAGAGATGAGGTGCACTGTTTCAGAAGAGGTGCACTGTGACCGAGACGAGGTGCCCTGTGTCCGTCAGAGAGTAGGTGCACTGTGACTGAGAGGAGGTGCATTGTGACACACTGTAAGTTCACTGTGACATAGGAGGTGCACTGTGACACGAGCAGTGTAGGGGTGTGACTGTGGCAGAGAGGAGGTGCATTGTGACGGGAGGTGCACTGTGACTGACAGGGGGTGCACTGTGGCAGAGAGGAGGTGCACTGTGACAGAGAGGAGGTGCACTGTGACTGACAGGAGGTGCACTGTGACAGAGAGGAGGTGCATTGTGACAGAGAGGAGGTGCATTGTGACAGGGGGTGCACTGTGACTGTGGCAGAGAGGAGGTGCATTGTGACGGGAGGTGCACTGTGACTGACAGGAGGTGCACTGTGGCAGAGAGGAGATGCACTGTGGCAGAGAGGAGGTGCACTGTGACTGTGACAGAGAAGAGGTGCACTGTGGCAGAGAGGAGGTGCACCGTGACAGAGAGGAGGTGCACTGTGACAGAGAGGAGGTGCACTGTGACTGGGACAGGAGGTGCACTGTGACAGAGAGGAGGTGCACTGTGGTTTTCATGGGGGAGGAAGTTGAGAGACAGTCTGTCATCGATGGTGAATAGTCACTTATTTTACATGAAGCATATTAGTGATGTATGGGTCAAGGACAAATAAGGCCTCTAAAAGGGGAGTTTAAAACATGCAATCCTTTAAACACAGTGAGATATACAGTACAATGATACAGAGTGCATCAGACACTGGAGTTATTCATGTGAGAGGATGTTTTTTCAAAAGTGTGTAATATCCCATGAACGTATCCAGCCTTTCTAGGACTCTACGGTGGGATGTGGAAGAACTACGGTGACACAAATGCACTAAAACGCAAAAGGCCCATAGAGCCGCTGTCTGTTTGTCCATTTCAGGCTTCCATAGACAAATGGAAATGACATTTCCCTCCAAGCTTTACCTTATAAGAAAAACGTAGCCTGTATTTAATCTCTGATTAAGTACAAACACAATTACTTTTCTTTTCACGTCACTTTTAACCGCAGAGTTGTCTCCGGCAGGGGGCGACGGCGAGCCGTGAGTGAGCCTTTTCTCCCCCCGTAGAAGAAGAGCCCGCAGTCTCCCAGCATCAGCACCACAGCGACGTCTCTCTCTCCCCCTCACTCACTCGCCCTCTCTCCTCCTCTCCATCCACTGCGGAACATCGGGCCCGTTTCTCCCTCCGATCGCATCGCAGGTCGCCATGGACAACTCCGGCAAGGAGAAGGAGGCCATGCAGCTGATGGCCGAGGCCGACAAGAAGGTCAAGGCGTCCGGGTCCTTCCTCGGGGGGATGTTCGGGTAAGAAGACGTCCTCGTTTCTCCCGTGTCTGTTCATACCTCTCCCCGGTGCCTCTCGTCTCCCGGTGCGGCCTACCGAAGCCCGTCGGGGGCCGACGTTTGACCGGCGGGTCGTTGCGATGACGTCGGTGCGCGCGTCTGTCCGGGCGGCGCTGGTGGTCCCGATCGATCGATCGATCGATCGATCCCTCGAGCCCCTCGCGACCTGCCGCAGCTTCCCCCCGTGACATCGAGCCGCTGTTACTGGTCCTCAGCTGCGCGCGCGCAAACACGTCAATTCACGCGTGTGCGTTTAAAAACGGGGAAAAACCAGCGGTCATCGCAGACGATGTGGCCTCCGCGTCAATGTGGCCGATAGATGCTGCTCCGGGATGCGAAGGAGGGGGGGGGGGGGGTGCGGGGGTTGTGTTTTTTTTTGTGTGTGTGTGTGTGTGTGTCGTGCGCGTGTGTTTTTGTGGGCGTGTGCGCGTGCCTGGGCCCGCGCGTGTGCGCGGATGGGAGTGGGCCGATGGCCTTCATGTGCGGGAGGGGCCGTGTTTACAGTGGAGATGTTATCGATTTGATTGGATGTAACCAGATTTGCTGATCGATCAATCGTTTTGTTTGCGGTTCCTTTTCGCCGGCATAAACTGAACCCTTTTATTTATTTACGCAGATCAAAGCATCATTGTGGGTTGATCAGTCGATGTACAGAAAAGTAATCAGCAACTCTTTTTTGAAAATCAATTTGACTTTTAAATCAGTTGTTTAATAACCGTGACAATTTTGCTTTTGTTTTTTTATGTGATTTAAGACAAAATGTGGGGGGTTGTTTGACGATTTGTAAACCAACGTGAGTAATAGTTAAGAAAATAATCCACAAATCGATTGATACAAAATACAGTTGCATTTAATGTTTTCACTGTGGATATCAGAGAAGTTGCGGTTCTCTTGTTATGGACCAACTCTGAAAGCGAGAAAACAATCAATGAAAATAGAAACCAAGACAACATGAAACTTTTCATCTTGATTGATGCTTGATTGACGTCTGGTCAGAAAACACGGAAATATTGTTCATCTCAGGGGAGATTTCTGACCCAAATCAGTTTTATTCATCCAAGTACATTTTATAGATCAAGAAGACGATAAAGGGAAATGGGTCACATCTGTTTGGCCCACATGGTCTCCAGCATGTTTATTTAATGAGACTCCGTGGGGTCATTCAAGGGTTCTGACGACCCACGAAAATGTGACATGTTAACAACAAAGTGTCCTGCAACAAACGATGAAGATAAACAAACAATGACAAACAATGAAGGATCAATCATTCAGCGATTCAATCGTAAAAAAGGCTTTTCGATAAAAAAACTACCTCTGGTTGCCAGGAGACATTAACCAACAATTCAATAAAGGCCGCGCCTCACATTTAACTGATACAATTACATTATTGCAAATGAGAATGAGCGTTGATGTTGGGCGTCTTTCCGTCCACATGACCACAAAGTCACATGACCACAGACTCACATGGCCACAGGCTCACATGACCACAGGCGACATCAGACACACATGGAGTCAAACATAAAATGCTTCATTCTCTTTATTATCTCTTTATTAACTCTTTATTATCCGAGGACATTTTAAGGCATCACAAATCTATGAGGAGGCGAAAAAAAAAGTCAACTAAGAAATCTAATTGTAATATACTGTATGTGGTTTGTCTTTGTGTGTGTGTGTGTGTGTGTGTGTGTGTGTGTGTGTGTTTTAGGGGGAACCATAAGGTGGAGGATGCCTGTGAAATATACGCCAGAGCAGCCAACATGTTTAAGATGGCAAAGAACTGGAGTGGTACGTGACACACACACACACACACACGCGTGTATATACGCCACATACTGCGCACTGGAACACAAAAGAACACGCACATATCTGCACACAAATAAACAAACTCCCACACAAACTTGTGCGCGCACACATTTATTTGAATGTCGGCGTTTTTTGGAAAGCCACTGATTAGTCTTAACAAGTAAAAGGCAGTTGTTGCGCAACAAGGGACTGAGCGTGCGTGTTTGTGTGTGTGTGTGCGTGTCTGTGTGTAGCTGCGGGGAACGCGTTCTGTCAGGCCGCTCGGCTCCACATGCAGCTGCAGAACAAACTGGATTCCGCCACCAGCTTCGTCGACGCCGGCAACGCCTACAAGAAGGCCGACCCACAAGGTGAGCGCCGCCGTGTCACACACGCACACACACACACACACAGACACAGACACACACACACTGCTCCGTCATCCGCCGTCTAATCTTCGCGTATTCTTCTTCTTTCTTCCCAAATAGCATCATTGGTTGGTAGAAGAACATATCAATGTTATCATGTAAACGCCTCTTTGTGCATGAAGAGACCTTCAAGTACATTTGGCTGCTCGTACTTTTGTGCTTTAGCGTGAAAACCTTTGACCTGTGAGAAGGTTTCTACTCGTGCCACCGGATGAAGAAGGGGAATCCTGTGTGTCGCGGTCGGAGTCGGGAGCCGGAGGTGGAATCGTTGGCGGATTAGATGCGATGAGCCTTATTGAGTTAGCGGGTTAGACGCCACGAGGGGAGGAAACCGAAGAGGCTTTGATTTGGTTCTTTTCAGTGTCTGAAGTCTGTACAATACTTTTCCTTCCGTCCCTCATCCAGAGGCCATCAACTGTCTAAATCAGGCCATTGACATCTACACCGACATGGTAAGCTCCGCCCCCTCCGCAGAACGTCTCCCCGACGTCTCTTATCTTCAGATGCAGGTGATGACGGCGTGTGCGTGTGTTGGTTTACAGGGTCGCTTTACCATCGCGGCCAAACACCACATCACCATAGCAGAGGTCTACGAGGCCGAGCTGGTCGATATCGAGAAGGTTTGTGATTTCTTTCTTTCTTCGTTTTTTTTTTTTTTTATCCACACATGTCTTTGTCGATTCTGAATTTGTGCGTTCCGTGCTGCCGTCGTTCTGTGTTCAGGCCATTGCCCACTATGAGCAGGCTGCAGACTACTACAAGGGAGAAGAATCTAACAGGTAACTGTGGATCTTCATGATAAAATCTCCTTTTCTTCATTATTATTGTTTGTCTTATATATCCAATATAGCAGCTTTTCAAATGATTGGAATTATTGATAGTAGTAAGTAATTTGGCAAATTGATCGATAGCCATAAAATATTGTTTGTGCATCTAACCGTGACCGAATATGATCATCTTTCTAAGCTCCACCTGGAAAGTTCTCCCTCCCCAGTGCAGCAAGCAGCCGCTAACTGGCTGCTTTTCTCTGTCCGCGGCGTTTCAGCTCCGCCAACAAATGTCTCCTGAAGGTGGGACACTACAGCGCACAGCTGGAGCAGTACGCCAAGGCCATCGAGATCTACGAGCAGGTACCGACCCCGCGGAAACACACACACAGCATTCTTGCGTTATGATCGTGTTACTGTGACGGGGAGTCGCACGCTTCCGCTTTTCAGCTGGTTATGACAATCGTTGAGTCAGTAAAAATAAAAAAGGATTAGGGTGAATTAAATGTTATTAGCGTGACGTCTTTTTAAAACCTCTTCAGCAAAGATAAAGCACATGGAGTGCGCCTCAAACCGGCGTGAACTAAAACACGTGAGTTCATTTCCTGATGGCTTGCGGTCATTTGGCGCGTTGCAGGTCGCCATGAGCACCATGGACAACCCTCTGCTGAAGTACAACGCCAAAGAGTATTTCTTCAAGGCGTCGCTGTGTCACTTTATAGTGGACGAACTGAACGCCAAGGTAGACACACCTGTGCCCAAACTGACCCCCCCCCCCCCTCACACACACACACACACACACAGAAAGACTTTACACACCTTTACACACCTGCTGCTGATATGCTGATGCCACTGTGTGTGTGTGCGTGTGTGTGCGTGTGTGTGTGTGTGTGTGTGTTGCAGTTGGCCATAGAGAAGTACGAGGAGATGTTTCCAGCCTTCTCAGACTCCAGAGAGCTTAAGCTCTTAAAGGTAATTTTTAAAGGTGTAATTTTGTGTCTAATCCTTTTGTTTCTTTCATGAACTGTTTTTGTTAAAATGTTCAGTGGCTCAAACTAATCTTCTATCCAGATGTAGATGATTTCATGTCTCCATAACAATATATATAATAAGTAGTCCACAGGAAATAACAGTTATGTATGTTTGTGAATAAATAAATCTCTAGTGGAAAAATTAACATGGTTCCGAGAGTAAAGAATATTATTTTCCATCAAACTGATCGTTCTTGTGAAAACGGCAAACACAAGCTACGGATGATGATGGTATCATTTAAGTGACATCACTGCCCGTTGAATCGTTGCCATAGAAACTGCTGGATGCCCACGAGGAGCAGAACAGCGAGGCCTTCACGGAGGCCGTCAAGGACTTCGACTCCGTGTCCCGTCTGGACCAGTGGCTGACCACCATGCTGCTCCGCATCAAGAAGACCATCCAGGGAGACGCCGGGGACCTGAAATAGACCAGCTTAGGGAGATGGCCAGGGAGGGGAGGGAGGGGGGGGGGGGAGGTTACCAGGGAGGGATGGGGGGGAGACCAGAGGGGAAGAAATAGTGAAACACAAGAGAAACAGAGAGGGGAGGGGGAGGAGGAGGGGGAGTTTACAGTTGTACATATCAGTCAGCATGTGCCCCCCCCCCCCCCCCCCCCCCCTCCCTCCCTCCCCCTCCTCCCCCACATTTAGCCAAACATCCCCTTTAGATGATCCCGTGTCCCTGGTCCCTCAGTATTATTCCCTTAACACTGGACAGAATTATACTTAAAGAGAAATTAATAAAGTGTGTGTGTGTGCGTGTGTGTGTGTGTGTGTGTGTGTGTGTGTGCGCGTGTGTGTGCGTGTGCGTGTGTGTGTGTGTGTGTGTGTGTGTGTGTGTGTGTGTGTGTGCGTGTGTGTGTGTCCACTTCAGTAAATTCTAAACTATTTGAAGGAAAAGCTGCTCTTATCAGATTAAAGGATATATATACTATTGAAACAAGGGATAAAAATCTTATTTAAGAGATTACTAATATTTATTGTCGATACTTAAAAGACTATTTATGTTTATTATGGTACTCAATGTTCCGATTTGTCTAAATATTTTAGGTATTGGCCCCTCTCCTCGCGTCTTTTATCCTCCTTCACTTCCTCCCCCTCTTTGGTTCCTCTGTCTCCCCTCGTCCTCTCCTCCCCCTTAACCCCCCCCCCCCACTCCCCAACGCCCCCCCACTTCAAAGTCAGTGATGTATCACCCATTGTGATTGGTTGGTTCTTTGTGTTCTGGCCAACGATGTACGGTCGGTACAGTTACCCCCCCCCCCCTCTCGCCCCCGTGGCTGCCTTGTTTGTGCATGTCTGTTGTCATGTTGATGTAAGTGTTCTCCGTGTTGTGCTAACGTGTGAAGAACATACATGTAGCCTGGAATCATTTGTGTGGTCAGTAAATATGTACCTCAGAAACCGAGTTGAAATAAAAACATCATCGCTCTAGATATCGCACTTTTCTTCTGGTGTATTTCTAGGCATAATGTTCCAATCTATGAATACATGTGTATATAGGTGGTCGAAGCTAGTTTGAGATCTTTACAACAATGGCTTTGTAAAGCCAAGGTGACATCATGAAATGCAGCGACTAGCAGGCCATGATGTCATGCTGCAGCGATGACTATTCCCAAAATACGACATAAGTCCACACAAAATAAATGCTAGATAATGCTTTGTCAATGAGGCCTCAAGGACTACCTTACTTTTTCTGCTAGGAGACTGGAGGCTTAGAGGTTATATGCAACTCTCGGCTGTAAAATCATAGTTTTGTCATTGCCAAGGTATGGACTGTTCGCTGAAAGCAGACTTTAGAAACTAAATTCTAAATAAATCTCAAAAACCAGTGTCAGGACTAGGCGTTGGCGAGATAACTAGTTGGGAATTGCTTTTCTGTTAGGATAACACATCACTTTTCCAATACTATTTCACTTTCCCGTGTTTCAAACACCGATTCTGTTATTGTTTGAGTGTAACATGTTACATGTAACATGATAAGATGCATTTCAATGCATTTTCTTCTTTTTGGTATGCTCAATGTGGGCTATTGTACGTATGTAGAAAAAAAACTATACATTAATATCAACAAAACATTTTGACAGACTAATTAATTAATTTAATGTTTTATTTAATTTATAAAAACGGTTTTGATTCTCCCCTCGTCCACTAGGAGCGCTAATGCGCCTTTAAGCTGGTTCCCCGACCGCAACCAATCTCTGAAGAGGAAGCATTATTCTGCGACACAAGCTTCCGGTGTGATCCACGTTCGTTGCTCACCCGCTCTGGATTTAGTTTGAGCGTAAATTGTGGACGCCACTTTTCTCCATAACTGGTCGAAAATCGGAATTGACCTTTTTACTGAAGGAGGAGGAAGCAACAAGCCGCCAAGATGCCGCGAATTATGATAAAAGGAGGCGTCTGGCGCAACACGGAGGTACGTGTTTACATGGCTAGCAGCGATAGCATGAAGCTAACCTTTAAAATGAGTCGGTATTAGCACGGAGCTAGCTCTTCACTAGTTAAAGATTTAGCCCGCCTATGAAGTTTGGGTTATCTGTGTTTCTGCCAGCGATGTCGAACAGGTTGATTTAACGGTGGTTTAAACTAGCGCATTTAGCTGGAAAAGATGGCAACTGCGTTAGCAAAGATCGGAGCAGCTTGTTACAAGCTTTGTCAATGTTAGCAAGCCAGCTAACGCTAGTAAGGATGTTTGTCCTGCGTCTATGGCTGCGAGGTTAGGAGGTGAAAGATGGATGAAGTAATTTATTAATCCCAGATGGTAATTACACTGTTACTGGGCCAGAATAAAAACGAAGATAACGAGCAAAGCAAACTATAAAATACATTTTTTGATGAATATGTTTGTTGACTCTGACACTCTTCGTTTGGCTGAGTGAGTGAGGATGATGTGCAGAAAGATGGCAGCTAATGATCACAGGGAGGCAGGAAGGTGTCAGACGTTGATTATCAGTGTTTCATAATGATTGATCGGGATCATACTTAATCAACGCTAATCTGCTTCCTTATCCAGGATGAGATCCTCAAGGCAGCGGTGATGAAATATGGGAAAAACCAGTGGTCTCGAATCGCCTCTCTGCTGCACCGAAAGTCTGCCAAACAGTGCAAAGCCAGATGGTGAGTCTCGATGCAAAGACATGTGATGGCATTGTTTTGAGTCTTCTCTCTGCATCAGTGTCCTCTGCTCAACCGTAGCCTCCAATGGCAAAAGAGATCTTTGATCCCAATCTGATTTCCTGTTTAGATAAACGTTCTTAACCTGGCTTTTGTGTCTGTGTGCAGGTACGAATGGTTGGATCCCAGCATCAAGAAAACCGAATGGTCCAGAGAAGAGGAGGAGAAGCTGCTCCATTTGGCCAAGCTGATGCCCACCCAGTGGAGGACCATTGCTCCCATCATTGGACGCACTGCTGCCCAGTGCCTGGAGCACTATGAATACCTGCTGTACGGCTCTATTAACTCAAACACACTTATACAGGCTTCATACCAGCCTCTCAAGCTTGATTGTAGAATTGTTCCATCTGAGGCACTTCAGATATGTTAAAATGCGGTTGATTTGTTTCTTTTTAGCGACAAGGCGGCACAAAGAGATAATGAGGAAGAAGTGGGCGATGACCCCAGGAAGTTAAAACCAGGAGAGATCGACCCTAATCCTGAAACTAAACCAGCCAGGCCCGACCCTGTGGACATGGACGAAGGTTAACACACGCATGTTAACACACTTGAAATAATGAAAACTGACCTTTTGCACAAACTTGAGTGTATCCGAAGAGTACAGCATGTATTTAATGTATTATGGGCTTCTGTCGTTGTCTTTCACATTTCTCGTTCTGATTGTTATAGGATGATATCATAATTTATTATGCAATTAATTGTGATAATCTTCAGATTATAATCAGTAAAAATATATCAAAGCACACTTCTCTTTTATGATTGTGGTTGAAGACCAAAATGAACTGATTGTGTGTCACTATCTGCAGATGAGCTGGAGATGCTGTCGGAGGCCAGAGCTCGACTGGCCAACACCCAGGGCAAGAAAGCCAAGAGGAAGGCCAGAGAGAAACAGCTGGAGGAAGCCAGGTTAGACACACACACATGCGCGTTGTATAATATCCTCATTCGATTAACACCATGGCATGCACACGGTTCTTTCAATGTTGCATCCACCATTGAGTGTGTCCATCTCTTCCTGGTTGCAGGCGTTTGGCCGCTCTGCAGAAGCGCAGAGAGCTGAGAGCGGCCGGGATCGACGTTCAGAAGAAGAGGAAGAAGAAGAGAGGAGTCGACTACAATGCTGAAATCCCCTTCCAGAAGAAACCCGCTCCGGTACCCACGATTCCCCCGTTTCATCCAAAACCCACAACACCAGCACGGCGCGTGGGCCCGGCGTGATATCCCACATGGGTCAATTATTTGATTCTTGTTCACTTTCAGGGTTTCTATGACACCAGCATGGAGGAGTACAACGCTCTGGAGCCCAACTTCAAACGGCTCAGACAGCAGCACCTGGAAGGAGAGCTGCGCAAGTCAGTGACGTTACACTATTTTATACACACGTTTACTATAAAATGTACAATATTTAGTTTGATGAAATCGTATTGTGAAGAATAATTCCATCGGTCCTTTTAAAAATTAATTTTTAATTTCAAACAACTCTCTGGAGTTATTTGAACTGTTTGGAAACAGTCCTACAACTAGCAAAAATAATACTAAATATTATTAGTGTAGTCTGATTATTTACCTGCAACTGTGCGTTTATCCAAGTGTAGTAATCGGGTGTGCGTTTTATGTCAACGTCCTCAATGAAATGACGCTGTGAACTATTTGTACTGTTCAACATACAGAGCTACTGGTTGGTGCTCGTTGGACGTCATAAGGACGCACACCCGATGAGGTCATAGCGTTCATTCCTGAGCTGTGTGTTGTGTGTTTTGTGGCTAGTGAGCAAGAGGAGAGAGACCGAAAGAAGGATCGGCAGAAGATCAAGAAGAAGAAGGAGAGCGACCTCCCGTCTGCCATCCTGCAGACCAGCGGAGTGGCCGAGTTCACCAAGAAACGCTCCAAGCTGGTTTTACCGACCCCGCAGGTAGAAACCGCTCGCTGAGCAACCGACGGATCTCTCGCCCGTCTGGTCGGCACAACACTCTTAATTCTTTGTGTTTTTAATCCAACGTTCTTTATAGATCAGTGACGTCGAGCTGGAGGAGGTGGTGAAATTGGGCGTAGCCAGCGAGGTCGCCCGTCAGGCCGCGGAGGAGAGCGAGAGCGGCAACTCTGCCTCCTCCGCCCTCCTGTCGGAGTACAGCGTCACCAACACCATGAACGCGGGGCTGCGCACCCCGCGCACCCCCACGGTGCAGGACCGGATACTGCAGGTAACACACACACACACAACTGAAGGTGCTCCTGGTCAGATAGCAAGTGGGTATTTTAAATGTTCCTTCTTTTTTTTTTTTATGAGCTCACTATATTTTATCAGGGAAGTTTGGTGTGATTTTGCAAAAAACATCATTTTATACATTAAAAGGTTTATTTGCTTATGAGAGGCTCATGTAAACATATACACGTTGTGCATCTGCTATTAGAGGCTGATTAATGACGATTAAAGAGATTATCAGGGACTGGTTTGACATTTTTGATCTTTCATGTAAACACTCTTTACATGTTGAGATTTTTCGGTGACATTTTTTGAACTTTTTGATTTCTTTTTTTAACCACAATTCTTAATTTACCAAATATTAATGTTTAAAATTTGGTTGGTTTAGCAGGTTTACAGTGTCATCTCTGGATATAAATGGGCTCTTTTTCTGCGTTTCCAGGAAGCCCAGAACCTGATGGCTCTGACCAACATCGACACCCCCCTAAAGGGAGGCCTCAACACTCCGCTGACCGAGAGCGACTTCAGCGGCGTGACGCCTCAGCGGCAGCAGATCCAGACTCCCAACACGGTCCTCAGCACGCCGTTCAGGTACCGTCCCCCGCCCCTCACCCCTTCACGCTCAAACAACACATTTAAACGACAGTCTGTGGTGTCAACGTTCATGGTGACCTCCACAGAACACCGGGGCAGGGTCAAGGGCAGGAGGGCATGACCCCGCAGCCCGGAGGAGTTATGACACCGCGCGGGCCCGTGACCCCGGGTTTGACCCCCCTCCGCACGCCGCTGAGAGACAAACTGAATATTAACAGCGAGGAGCAACTGGCCGACCCGGCGTTCTCCAAACACATGGTAATTACACGCTCGTGACACGCATGTGGGGCTGTGAATACACCAAATTCAAGCCGTAAAAACAGCGAGGACCCTTCAGGATTCATGATAATTAGAATGAGGAGGACTTTGTTAACAGGCGTCACTCTTCTCTCCCATCCATCCACAGCAAAGGGAGAGCCTGCAGCAGCTGAGGCAGGGCCTGTCGTCACTTCCTGTTCCCAAGAACGACTTTGAGATCGTTCTTCCCGAAAACGCAGAGAAGGAACTCGAAGAAACGGAAGCGGAGACGGGATTCATAGAGGACTCCGCCGACATCGAGTTACGCAAAAAAGTAAGCGTGCGCACCCGCCCCCAAATCAAAGTGACATGAAGCCATTTGTGTGTACCTGTAGTTTAATTACAGCTTGTGTGTCTCAGGCTATACGGGATGCAGAGCGAGAGAAGGAGCTAAAGCTGCGACACACGTCGGTTCAGAGGAGCCTCCCCAGACCCACAGAGGTATGTTTGGTTGGATCAATCCAGATGACTGAACGCGGTGCTTTTACTTGTATTTGACATCAGCGCGTCCCCCCCGTCCCCGTCCCTCCCCAGGTCAACGAGTCTGTCCTGCGTCCGGCCTCCATGGAGCAGCTGCTGGACCTGCAGCTGGCCGAGGAGCTGATCAAACAGGAAATGATCACCATGCTGCACCACGACTGCCTGCACCACCCGGTGGCCAACGCCGCCAGCCAACTGCAGCGCGGCAAGACCAGAGGCCCCGCCTCCACGTCCAACAACGCGTCGCACATAGCGTACCTGGAAACGCATCTCTACAAGCCGGTCAGCACGGAGGACATGGAGCAGGTGACGTGCACATCGCAGGGCACCGGTTTTACGTAACTGTCTGAGGAGGGGGCGTGGCCACCGTGACGTCACTCGTCAGTTTGTTCACTACCGAATCCTAACCAGGCCACGCCCCTAATACTGTATTGAAGATGACCTGAAAGTAGAGATCATAAACTCATGTTTACGGAAAATAAATAAGAAGTAGTAATTCTACAGGACCAGAGCAGTCGCCCCCTGGTGGTCGCTACAGAGAATGAACGTTTATGGCATTCAGCATTGGCTTCCCCCAGAGGCTGACGATGCGTTGTGTTAATGAACAGGCGAAGACGATGCTGGCAGCAGAGATGGAGGTGGTGAAGGGCGGAATGGGCCACGGTGATCTCAGCATGGAGGCCTACAGCCAGGTGTGGGAGGAATGCTACGGACAGGTGAGCATCCGCCGACACTGACTGCCTTCTGCGCCTTCATGGAATCTGTTGGTTCATCGCGTCTGCCTCCCTCTTCCTGCAGGTTTTGTATCTTCCCGCTCAGAACCGGTACACCAGGGCCAACCTGGCGTCAAAGAAAGACCGAATTGAAAGTCTGGAGAAAAAACTTGACGTGAGGAACCACAAAAATCAAATAGCAGTTTAACCTAAATTGTGCCCTTTTTAAAACGCTGCTGCTCCTTTTGATCCGTCTCAGGTGAACCGCGGCCACATGACAGCAGAGGCTCGTAGAGCTGCTAAACTGGAGAAGAAACTGAAAATCCTCCTGGGCGGGTTTCAGTCCAGAGCCCTGGGGCTCCTGAAGCAGCACGGAGAACTCTGGGAGCAGGTACAGAATGTGACGAGAGTCTTAATCTGTCAGGATACACTTCAATCCCTGGAATTAAGATGGTGTGTTGATGCGATGCTCGTGGTGCCCACCAGGTGGAGCAGGCAGCCACAGAGCTGGAGACCTTCAAACAGCTGAAGAAACAAGAGGACACTGCGATCCCCAGGAGGAAAGAGGTAATTCAAAATAGGGAATGGTGTCAATAGCACGTGACTATTTACTCTTGATTGTATTCTTGTAAATGTGAAGAAATGCTGTTTATTTATAGCTCGTTTCATTTTGGGAGGACAAGAGAAGCCACAATGCGGTTAAATGGTACGACGTATGACGCTGAGCTCGGTGTATTTTGTGCTTTAGGCTCTCCGGGAGGACGTGGAGAGGCAGATGGACCGTGAGCGAGAACTCCAGCAGAGATATGCGGAGATCACGATGGAGAGGGAGGCCATGGTCAACAGCGCCCAGAAATACTAACTCACACACTTAAATACTCCTCATGCAAACGGAGAGATCAAGCAGCTGCATCTAGAAACCAACATCGATAAACAAAAACCTTCTCGCTCTGAGTCGTCGTATTAAATCTGTCCTGCTTTTTTTTTTTTCAATATTTGTGTAAATTTCAGAGCTATGTCCCGCCTCCTTGTTGCTATGACATCACAAGCTGAGTCGAGCATGCTCAGTAGTACCTTGTATTTCTGTATTAGTGACCAATAAAGTTTTTTTTCCAAACTGTGGCAAGGCTGTTTTGCTTTATTTATAACAAAGAATCACACACATACAAAAAGGGCTTACTGAAAGGCACACAAACATAAACGTTCCATCTTCAGCAAGTGAGGAAAGCCATCCCGCTCCTGCGATAGGCACTCTGAGGGGAGGAGACGGGTTGTTACTTTCGACTTGACTTTTAACACAGTAACAAGTATCGCATGCAGTTTGACTTACTGTGTGTCTGTAGTTGTATCTTCTGATGGCCTCTCTGACGTGCCCCAGCTGGATGGATCCACTCGGAGGTTCCACCGTAGCCGGAGAGCTCTGAGGAGTAAAACAATAGAAGGAGGACTCGGCCTGACGATATACGACCCACAGGATATCTACATTTATTGCTTAAATAGACACACGCACCTTTTTGCGTTTTCTCTGTCGGGCTCTGCCATCGAGACTGCCGTTACCCTGTGGGAGGGGCCTCGAGTGGGAGGAGCCGGGGGTTGAAGGGGGAGTGGCTTCGGGAGAGTCTGGATCCTTCTTTACCTGGAAAGATTGAAAACATCTTATTTCCCGACTAAGACGTAACTCGTATCGTAGTTTTGGTTGTTCAAAACAAGCAAATATCAGATTATTACACGTGTGTGTGTGTACCTCAGTATGAGTGTTGTAGTGGATGTGGCTGGAAGAGATCACATGACTGATGGCATTTGTCGTCGCAGTCATTTCTTGCTTCACCAACAGAGACAAATCCACAATCTTGAGAAAGAGAAATATTTCACTGGAAAGTTGTTCATCTCACACGCACACAAACGCGCATTCACCAGGTTACCTGGGCAACAGTCTCATAAGCAAGGTAGGACATGATCTCCATGGTGATGCTGGTGGGTTTCAGCTCCAAAGTGCTGCAGTCCAGCCACTCTCGAAACTTTGATGCCTTCTTAGCTGGAAACACAAGACGAAGTCCACTTTCATCTCGACACGTGACGTCTCTTAAGCCGAGATCAATAGTGAAACGATTCGTTAACAGACAAACATTTGGATCCTGGATTACAAATTAAAAAGAATATACTATTGGTTGCTTTACTCTGTTGTACATCATTGTAAACTGAATAATTTACTTTTGGACTATTGTCTGGATTAAAGAAAAAAAATTATAATTTAGACTTGTCATTTTTTTTCAATTATCATACACTAACTGAACAAGGTTGCCAATTTCCCCCCCCCGGCTAAATATTTCTTGTGATCTTTTGTTGTATTATTCTAAAATCTGCTCCAGTATATTATCTTTTATTCATTTTAAGTCAATCATATTTGAAAAGTTTCGTCTAGCTGCAATAACAGAGTCCCATGACGTATTGATTAAGCTCACCAAAACTCAGCTGTCGACTTTCACAGAACTCAGAGTACTGCGCCTGGTCCATCGCCCGGGTCTGACGCTCTAAACGCTGAAGACGCACAAAACGTCAACACGTTAATAAAGAGGATGACCATCGTCCGTCTTAAACGCGTCGTACATCGTCGAGAAGACGGAGGCCGGATACACCACGATCACCTCGCACCTCCATCCGCTCCTGCTTGACGGGGTCCCACTCCTGCCGCTCCGCCAGTGACAGCAGCTCTCCGGTCTGATCCAACCACAGCAGGAAGTCCTGGGCCAATCGCTGCCTCCGATGGTTACCGCCGGCAACGGCACCTGCAGCACCAGCCGATCTGTCTGAAAAAAAAGAAAGAAAAAATCTCAGTTTTGGTTCTCAAACATATATTTAAGTAGCACTAGAAAACAAAGTCAGGATTTAATGCTGTCATCGTAACACTGTGCGCTACCGGTCGATTCCACTAAAAACACGAGAGAGCGTGCACCTACCCGTTTCTTGCTGCAAGTCTTCTTCCTCCAGACTTTTGAGTAACCTAGATTTAAAATCTCTAAACTGGAGATATTTCAATAACCTCGCCACCTTCCTCTGGAGACATTGAAGCGAGAGAGTGAGAAGCACAGAGAGAGAAAGGTGAGCGCAATCAGTCACACAGTTTTTGGAAGTTATATATATTCCCCCCCCCCCCCAGTCGCTGGTTCACCTTGTCCCGCCTCATCAGGAACAGGATGTCCTCGGGGGAAATGACCCTGGACCCACGAAGAGACGCCCCCTCGCAGGCCTGGTGCAGCTGATACATGAACCGGTCACATCAGTTAAACCGGCCTCATGGACCAAAAGTGATTTACAAAAAGAAGATCAACTTTCTCTTCGGAGCTTCATTAACTGCTTTGGACATTCATTTAACCTGAAAAATGCCACATTGAAGCCGTCACGTGACATTTACACTGGCATTTTTAACACGTAGCATCATCGCTCCTTTACATAATCAACACATCTGGAGGCTTTTTCCCACCACCGTGGAAAACCAGCGTTCTGTATTTACGTTACCATGGTGATGAGCTGCGTGTGCACGATGTCCTCCACCAGGGCGGCTGTCTCGGGCGGAGGCCTGCGGGCGTCTCCCAGCGCGAACCTGACACACGAACATCATGCCGATGAATTGTCTTCCATACTTTAGTGTGTTTGAGCAACGTTACATACGACACCGACTGGCTCGAGCAAAACCGCTTCTGACTTCTGGGGGTTTTGAACAGATGAAATCAGCTAAAGTTCCCGTGTGGAAGCTCGGGTTTAAAGCGACGTTCAACGGTTGTGAAATTTGTTGAATAAAAAAAAAATTTTAAACGGTTTGGAAGAAGTTGTTGGTAATAAATGACATAAGTCGCCGACTCCATTTCTCTCACAGTGAACTCAACATGCCAACCCCCCGCCACCCACCCGACCCCACCCGACCCCCCCACACACACACACTTTGGTCAGACCTCGATTTGCATCCAGAATAGCCACTTCCAGGACGGCAGTCTAAACTAAACCCACATCCTGACGCTCTTTCCTTCTCCCAGTCCTTCTTGATCCCTCGGTCTCTTTGTACATACTCCCCGCCCCCCCATCTGTGCTGTGATTGGCTGTTCGCAGCCATCAATCCCACAGGTGAGTGAGGCTTCGGTTTGGGGTTGTGGGCAGGTCGGCCTCAGGCTGATTGTTTGGTTTTAGGTTTTGGGGTTTAGTTTCAGCCTCTCTGACCACCAACAACTGCTCTCTGCACCTCACACACACGACACAAGGTGAGTACCCCAGAAACACACACACACACACACACACACACACACACACACATACACACACGCAGAGCATTTTGCTTCTTTTGAAAAGAAAGATCTAATTTGTTCAGATCAAAAATAGTGTGAACATGTATAAATGACATCTTCATACTCCAAATACAACCACCTTTTTTCAAGTTTTCATTTATATATATATATTTCATATTAAATATTATTTTACTTGATAAAATGTTTCTATTGTGATAACTGATTTATTTTGTAACCATACTGTGTGTTAAATTGTAACGCACAAGTGGACGTCTTCCTTTTATCTCTTTTTTGCTGTCCAACATTTAAACATATTCAGTTTGATGCAAGAAAATGAGTAAATGTTCACAAATGAGATTGTTGCCTTAAAATATCAAACAATTGATCATCAAAATAGTTGATAATAGTGTTAATTGATGGCATATATATAATTATTTTACACACGTCTTTCACCTAATGTCATACTTTAGTTATTTAAAAAACGTGATCACTTCTATATTTTAAATAGGAATACTTATGTGTACTTTGAGTGTGAACACAATGTATCAGAATGAGGAGTTGTTTTAAGACACTTTCTCTGTCATTTGTCAAACAGGTTTTTATGGCTTCAAACAGTCTGTTCAGCAGCACCAGCCCGATGCTTTACTGGGGTGAGGCTCGGCGTGTGCGTGTGCGTGTGTGCGTGTGCGTGTGTCTTACATCATGCTCTGGATCTCTGGGATGAAACTGGTCCTGGAAGCAGGACGCTCTTTAGAACTGGAGGTTGCGGAGCCGGCCATTGGACCACGGCGCCCTGACGCCAACACAGAAGGACAACCGCGTTAAGACCAGTTCAACAGAAATGTCTACACACACTGTTGACGGCTATATATATATATATATATATATATATATATATATATATATATACACATATACACACACACACACACACACACACACATTAAAAGCCTAAAATAACAAGATAGCAGAACAGATCTGAGGCAAATCAAAACACGCGCGCACACAACACACACACACACACGCACACGCACACACACACACACACACACACACACACACACACACACACACAGAGGGCACAGGTGGTGCTGACCGCAGTAACTTCCCCCCCGGCAGTAGAATCTGAATGACAATGCAGCGCAGTTCCCTCCTATTCAAACACTGCGGTGAGTAAAACACAATGAGGAGAAGAGGAGGAGGAGAAGAGAAGAAGAGGAGAAGAGGAAGAGGAAGAGGAGGAGAAGAGAAGAGGAGGAGAAGAGGAGGAGAGAGAAACCTGCAGGAGAGAAAGAAGCACATCCGCAGTTTTAAACGTTCACCTCAGTGGATCAGGAGGAACGTCGTTGCTGCTTCTGTTGACAATTTTCGATTTCTGTTTTCTCCGGCGCGGTTTTATGACGTAGAGCCGTGAGGCCGCGCGGGGTTCTGGTAGTCGTAGTTTCACAGACCTCTCGGTCTAAAAGCGCCTCGCTGAAACTCTGATCCTTGTTTAAACAGATTTGTATTTTATTCGGTTCATCCCATTTGCTTCATATATATAAATATTGTTGCTTGATTAATTACATGTAGCTATAATGATTTTTAGAGACAAGTTTAAAATAGATGTTTCAAAGACAAGCGTATTTCAAGTTGTTTGAATCCATTTTACAATACAGTCTACAAAGACATTAGCTGAATTTTAACATGTAAAACGCTTCTGTCTCATTAAAAAGTTATCAAAAACAAATAAGGGAGATATCCGGCGATTTAATCCTGATTTAGGAAAAATTATTTGTATATCAAAATTGGTTTGCTTTGTCTATGACATAAATTGTTGTTAATATAATATACAAATATTTAAAGACAAATATGAAATAATATCTCCCTTTGTTGCTCCTGCTCAGATCCTGTGGTGAAGCATCAGCCAACGCCATTGCCCACCAACCGCCACCCGGACGACCATGATGCGAAGTCCCGCCTCCAGCGCAGCACAGCGCCACCCAGAGGCCTGATGCAGACCGACAGCCCGAACTTCCTCTGCAGCAGCCTGCCGCAGCACTGGAGGTGCAACAAGACGCTGCCGAGAGCCTTCACGGTGAGGAATCATCTGACGGCCTGTCTGTCTACCTGCCTTCTGTCTGTCTGTCTGTCCCCAAGGAACAGATTTGTCTCAGTTTGCCTCACTGTCTGTCAATCAATCTAATATCAAAGGTCGTCGAATGTCATGTGGATATCATGTGGCCCTGCAGATGTTACCATGCCAGTCTCACCATTCTCTCAGACCATTTGGTGCCCGTCCTTATTTAACCTCTTCTCCCTCCTCCAGGTGGTTGCCGTGGGCAACGACGTACCGGATGGCGTGGTTGTCACAGTGATGGCTGGCAACGACGACAACAACAGCGCCGAGCTACGCAACGCCACGGCGACCATGAAGCAAGGCTACGCCCACTTCAATGACCTTCGCTTCATAGGCCGCAGTGGGAGAGGTAGAAGGACGGATATAATCTGTGATGCAATAAAGTAATAAACAGGAACAACAGCAGGGTCATCCCGTGGGATCTCCCACTTTTGTAATTTAAATACCCTCCAATACACTAAATCAGACATCTACGCACCAAAATGTTGGGTTCGCCATTGAAGCCGGAGGGTAATGAAAAATGAAGTTAGAGTTAGAAGGATAAATCGATCATCATGTCCATGACGATCAATCACAGACAACACGAGTTAAGGTCATATCTATGACCCCGAATACTTGTTTCGGGAGGATTTCATTTTTATGGTTTTGTGTCAACTCAAATTACTTTGAAAGCCTCTGTAACGTCTCTTAACGTGAATTGTTGTTATTTTTCAGGCAAGAGCTTCACACTCTCCATCAACGTGCTGACGTCGCCGCCTCAGATCGCCACCGTGCACAGAGCCATCAAGGTCACGGTGGACGGACAGCGGCTGCCGAGACGTGAGCGAATAACACGCCGGTTTCATCCCAAGCTCTCCGTCGGAACAAGTCACGCTTACTCTTCTTTTCTCCCTCAGGACAGAGGCAGAAGGACCGAAAGTTGGGAGTTTTCCGGTTACCTAGCAACAGCACTGCATCATCGGGTTTGTCGTGTAGAAGTCTAATTGTTTTAAACTTGAAACCAACCGTTTCAGTGTTGACTTTCACGCGCAGGACGGAAGATGTTGCAATAAAAATGTTGTATAAATTGGCATAGAATAATATCTTACCCACAATAACTAAAAATGTAACATGATTAATGATGTCATTAATTCCACACTTTTATATACTCGTAGTTTGACCACAAATACAATAATATGTTTTTTTTAATTTATCATTTTATTACGGAAAATTTGTATATAAATATTGAACGACACTAGAATACATGATGGAAATAGTATCAACTCAAATAAAATTCTAATAATCTTGTTTAACAAAAATATAAAATCCTAATATCCTAGTTTTTGGCCTCATTACGTTCTGTCAAGATGGTTCATCTTAGAAGTTCAATACTGCCGAGGAAGACCACGCTGCAGCTGAAAGCTGCGCCCGGCTGAGAACTGTTGTTGTTTTTGTCTCTCTGTAGATCTTAGATCGTTTTCCTCTCGGTGGACTAATGAGCCGTCGTTGCTGGCCTCTTCCTTTACTCCGAGTCCCAGAATGCACCACCTGCCTGCCCTCGCCTACTCCACCCAGCCCACAGGGTACACCTCCTTCCTGTCCGCTCCTCCTCCCCCCCCTCTGAGCCACAGTGGTCCGTTCCAGCCGAGCAGCTTCTACTACGGGCCGAGCCAAACGTACCAAACCGCGGGGGAGGAGCGCAACGTCGTCACAACTCTGGCCAATTACATTGAAGGGGCGTGTCTCCCCATGAGAGGGGAGGAGCCCGTATGGAGGCCTTATTGATGACTGGGACTTTTATAAGAAAAAAGGTGTTGTTTGTTTTCCTTAGTTTTCATGTGTTTATTTATCGCATTGTTGAGGTTCTATTTATTTATAGTTCAATATGTTCTGGTTGTTATTTTACCTTTCAGGATTTGAACATTAGTTTGCTGTACAATAAAGTCTTTATTGGAGAAACAGTTCATTTCCAACATTTATTTCTCAACCTGAACGCACAAAATAACGCATCTAAAAAACAAGTTAAACCACATTGAATCCGTCAGAAGTTTACAAGTAAACATAGAAACTAAACTAAACATATCTGATATCATAGAAATGTAGTTGTTGTTTAGAGAAATGTAGACTCATGTCCGCTGTGGCAAAATTATAAAATGTGTTAAATTGTGTTGCGGTATATTTAAAAATGTTGTGTTCAAATGTTTACAAAAATAAATAAATTGTGTATTCATATAGTTGTTTTTATCACAACTTGAGGAGCTTAAGGACTATTTGATTTTGCTGAGTCGTCCTGCAACGTGTTGAGCTCAGCCACTCTGCTGCTCCACTCCTCCTCTGTCATTTCTTCTTCTGCTCCTTCCCTAACGTCCTCCTCCACCCGGTGCTCTCCTGAAACACAGATGCTCACGTCACAAAGATCCAAACTTATTATGAAAGTGTATTATATGTGTCTTATATATAAAACTGTGTTTTTGTAGAACGTGACCTCAGCGGTGTGTGTGTGCGTGTGCGTGTGTGTGTGTCCTCACCATTGCAGGTCAACGCCGTGCAGACCCAGTTTCCACAAGCGCACACACACTTGTTGCACTCCATCCGAGTCTCAGCACCGTCCTCGAACACCTCGTCCTCCAGAGCGCACTCTGCACGCAGGTCAGACAAACACAACGTAGTGATCAGCGACACGCAACACAAATGCCTCAGGCTTAAAATGCCTTTAATGTAATTTAAATCCTGGAGATGCTTGGTTACTTCTCTCGTAGGGGTGGTAGGTGGGGGTCAGACAGTTGATGAACTCCGTTAAGCTCAGCTTCCAGTCTGCGTTTTCATCCGAGAGCTCGATCAGAGCGTCAACGCACAAAGACCTGAGTCACACACAGAGCGACGTTAACGTTTACTGATGATTGAAGGTTGTTGTTTACGGAAAATCTCAGTTAAAACACATCAGATACACTCATAAACTACTATATGTTGCTTTCTATATCATCTCGACGACAACACTTCCAATGTGTGTGTGTGTGAGTGTGTGTGTGTGAGTGTGTGTGAGTGCGTGTGTGTGAGTGTGTACCTCAGCAGAGTGTTAGTCTCCAGAGTGCTGGAGTACGTGAGGTTGAGGGTCGTCTCATTATGCTTCAGGAAGCTCAGGAACTCTTTGGAATCGAGCTCAGAGTCCCCGTCGTCGTACGTCTGTCACACACAAACGCACAAACACACAAACGCACAAACGCACAGGTAAACACCTGCTTCATTCATCCTCTCACGGTGAGGAAAACAGTTTGCACCTTGAAGTATGTCTGCAGCAGCGCGTCGGCCGTGGTGACGTTCGAGGCCTCGTCGCCCGATCGAGCCTCCTCCTGGATCCACCGCATCGCGCTCTCTCTCAGCCAATCACGATGCGACAGGAAGCACGCCACTGCACGCACGGATGAGAGGGTTAACGAGGGCGAAGGCCACGCGGGCTCAAAGGTGAACCTCGGGCCACTGACTCACTGGGGCTCACATCTGTCTCCGTTGGTTTCTCTGCAAATAGAAACACACAAACAATTGTCACGACTCTCTGTCACACACTTTAACTCTGTGTGTGTGTGTCTGTGTGTGTACTGACCCAGACAGCGTGCTCGGTGCTGCACGTGTATCTTGTTTTGGGTGGTGCAGGCGTCCCTGTGCAGCTCACAGTGATTCCTGTAGGTTCGTCCGTTGCTGCCACACACCCAGTTCTCCGCCACGTCGCACTGCTGCAGGGGGAACGTTTCAAATTTAAAAATGGAACATTTAAAAATGACAAATTTTAATTTTACTCTATTTTAATCCGCAGCTTTGACATTTTACCTGTAAACATCTACAGACGGGTTCTCCTCGGTCGGTCGATACACACTCTCGACCTGCACCGCAAAAAGTCCTGTCGCACACTGACCGGACCTGATACACACACACACACACACACACACACACACACACACAGAGGAAGCCGTATATATCATATATTTGTATGTATATATTTCTGGTTTGTATGGGCAGCAATGAAAAGAGGTGCAAAGTGTGTCTTTCAAACTCCAGATGGTGACCTTTAACCTCCCGGTGAGGCCGAGGTTGTTTTGAATGATAATGGCTCCATCTCCACACACACACACACACACACACACACACACACACACACACACACGGCCAGCTGCCCAGCGATGTGGCTCTTTTTTAGATTTTAGTTTCCTCGTCATCTTCACCTTTTGCCTTTCTTTCCTGAAACTACAGACTCAGCAGGAACCGAACATCGCAGCCGTCCTGCAGGATGAATCCATCATGGTAATTACAATCTGAATCCTACACCTAAACCCTCCAAAGGAGAGATGATTCGGATAAAAAGACGCCACTTTTCCAAAAGAAAAGTGGGCGTCAGAGTCAAACATGTAAATTCATGGACAGAAAGTTGATACAAGAACGCACACAGACACACACACACACAATAGATACATCTGCCGCCTCCAGCTGACATCTGCTGCACCGCAAACCTGCTGTTAGCAAGCAGCTGCCTGGAGCAAAACACACACACTGCGGTAATGTGTTGGAGTAGTTACAAGTTCATGTCTTATCCTGTGGAACAATTTGTGCTCCTCATTTTTAATCTTTTGTCCTCTCGTTCTTTCTCTTCCCTCGTCCCCGATTAATCTTTTCTCCCTCGTTGTTTGTCTTATTCTTGCTTCCTTTTCGCCTTCATTAATCAGCTCCGACTTTTCCAAGCCACATTTATCGTATTTTAAATAGTTTGATCTCATTATTTCAGTTTTGCTTCAAACACATCTGGTTTCTCCTTTGATTTTGCACTTCTGACTGGAAGGTGATAAAAGCTCAGAGGAAACAGCTGGAGCAGCAGAGTGTTGGAATGTGGTTCACATCTGGAGAGGAGCTGCTGACAGCACTAATCACACACATACCGCAGGAACAAAAGCTCTTTCATATTTCACCTCCACGTACCACCTTAGAAGCATTGATGACACGTTTCTATTTCACACCAGGAATAAAGGCTGTTTGCACTTGATACTCACTGACAGAATAAACTCAAAAAGCAGACTTTATTTTGTCTAATGACACTTTTGAGGGTTGAAATGTTCGAGTTAAAGACCAAAACACACACACGACTTTTGACTTGTTTTTCCTGCAGGTCAACATCAGTCTTTTCTAAAGTGACGACTTGTGATGGATTTACACTCCAGAAAAGTGGGAAAGGTGAAGAATAATAGAAATGTCTTCACTGGGAATATGTTTTCCAGTAAGGTGCTTCGCTCAATAAGTGATTTAATCCTACAGCGCTTGTCTTGTTCCCTGCGCTGCTTCTCAGACATGTAAGAAGACATTATACCAATCTGCTCAGCTTTAATTAAATTAATCCAGTTACTACTTCACAGTAACGCGTAATCAGTGCTCCTGATTGGTGAAGAAAGAATAAATCACACTTTGCCTTTACCTTGGCCAGAGGAGAGGAGGAGACAAGCGGAGAGGAGAGCAGCCACGGCAACAGGAGCACTGAGATGGTCAACATCTGGAGGAGAGAGGAGACGAGGGAAGAGGAGGATGGATGAAGAGGAGAGAGGAGACGAGGGAAGAAGAGGATGGATGAGGAGGAGAGAGGAGACGAGGGAAGAAGGAGGAGAGAGGAGACGAGGGAAGAAGAGGATGGATGGAGAGGAGAGAGGAGACGAGGGAAGAAGGAGGAGAGAGGAGACGAGGGAAGAAGAGGATGGATGGAGAGGAGAGAGGAGACGAGGGAAGAAGGAGGAGAGAGGAGACGAGGGAAGAAGAGGATGGATGGAGAGGAGAGAGGAGACGAGAGAAGAAGGAGGAGAGAGGAGACGAGGGAAGAAGAGGATGGATGGAGAGGAGACAGATGGACAAAAAGGAGGAAGATAAGATGGAAAGAAAGGACAGGAAAGGATATAAGGAAGAAGTGTAGGAGATGAAGGAAAGGAGAAGAGAAAAGAGGAGACAAGGATATGAAGTAAATGTTACATTGGTTAGTTAAATAATCATCCAATTAAATTAATAATTAATATAAATATTTACAATATTTACTGTAGTAAAACTACTTATTTTACCAACCATTAGTACTGTTACATTTAATACTGCTATGATGATTGCTACTAATAAAGCGGGCGTACCTTGTCAGTCTAACAACAGTTTGTCCGGAAGCTGTCGCTCTGGAATCAACCGGTCAGCATTGAACCACCTGAGAGAAGCAGCCAAAAGTAATCAATCAACCAATCCGTCAATCAATGGTGTAATTCATATAATATCCAAATTTCCAGCGTGAATCCACTGAGATAAAGAGTTTTCTATCCAGTGGATCTGCTTCGCTGTGCATGGAAACACCGTCTGAGGAGGGATGCTGAGGGAGAAAGGAGAGCAGCTGTCCAGAGACCCCCCCCCAGCCCCCATTCAAAGCACCGCCCCTCCTCCACCTCCGAAACACCCACAATCCGTCTCCTTGAGGAATGATAAGTTAAAGGCACTCGATCAGCTGACATGTTCAGACAACGCAGAAGAGCCAAGAGGGAAGAGAGGAGGTGACGTCACACTGAAGCCGCCGATTACAACAGCAACATCATTTAATGAACACATATTGTGGTTTGTTCATTCAAACTTTCTCTTGACAACAATCAGAGTTTTGGGATTTCTACATCATTTAAAAGAGCAGTTTTACACAAAGAATTTAATGGGGATCAAACTCAAGACGACACAAACACATTTAGATGGTTTTTAAGTCCTACATTTTTTCCTCATGTTACCACGAATTCAAAAAGCTGTTTTTGAACAGCTGCTTTTAAGTTAAGCACTTCGAAATATTTCTATTTACATTATATAGTTGTTAAATGCTGATACTTAAATCTATTCCGTTTTCTCTTGTGTATTTGCATGAGGAGAACAAAGTCAAAACCAGAGTCAAATCAGCTAATAAAACCTTTTTTACACAGGTTGTAGTGTCACACTGTGACCAGCAGGGGGAAGATTCTCATAGTTGTTGTTGTTGTTGTTATTCCATCTCTCTCTCTCTCTCTCTCTCTCTCTCTCTCTCTCTCTCTCTCTCTCTCTCTCTCTCTCTGTCTCTGGTGTACATCAGAAGATGATGTCTGGATAATGCCACCCGCCTGGTGTGCACCGCAACACGAATGGTGCGCACTCACACTAAAAATATAACAGGGAGGTCAAGAGTGAGCACCTCTTTTGTGTGTGTGTGTGTGTGTGTGTGTGTGTGTGTGTGTGTGTGTGTGTGTGTGTGTGTGGTGATTGTGGGGGTATGGGGGGGCTATTTTAAGGAAAGGTATGTTATGAGCTTTAATGCGAGGTGATAACAGAGGTGTGATACACGCAAACACACACTGAAATGTGCACAAAAACACAGACACACTGTTCCACAAACGCACACTTGCTTGAGGCGTGAGAGCCGGAGTGGAGATGATGACAAGAGCAGAAAGTCTGTTTTCCCTCCCCTCACACATAAAATCCTGCAACCTAATTATTATTCTTAGTAAAAGTCAAGTATTTTGCTCGATCAAATCTTTTAGAAGTCACATTCTTTCAAACAGAGTTCCATTATAATGATTTTATAAGTTTGGCTCCAGGTCTTTTCCCCGGAAGCAATTTGGAACGAGAAGAAGGGTTTTTTTTATGGGATCATGCCGTCTTCGCAAAGAACAGAAATTGTTCCGCTTTTGATGAAAGAAGTCACAAGTTGAAAGAAGAAAGTGGTTTAGCTAAATTCCTAAACTGACAATTATCTCTCTAAAAATCAGAGGCTTCCAGCGCTTCGTGGTCCTTGTTTCACCGTGACGGTGATCATGCTTATTCTAACGATGTGTGGCTACAAGGCACGTGTTCCACATTTCACGTAAACGTGGAGCTGAGCAGCGTCGTTAAGACACAGTAAAGACGTCGCCCAGACACACACACACACACACACACACACACACTGATAATGGCTTTGAGGAGACCTGGCAGCATTTTAAACAAGTTCTCTGGGATAAAAAACCCGATGCGACCCTGATAAGTAACCCGTCCGTCCGCCTGCAGCTGTGAAGCGTCGTCAGTTAGACAACATGTCGCATTGTTTCACAGAGACGTGCAGTCTTGTCTATTTTCTTTGAGTTGAGAGAACAGAACTTTTGAATTACAGTGAAATGTGCCGACCCGCCTCTGCAGGAGCCCCCACCAACCAACCATTCTGCTTGTAGGAAGTCTCTCCTCTTCTTGATCAATAATCACCAATCACTTCACCTTCCTTCCCTCCTCATGTGCTTTAAAGCCCCGTTTTAGTAAGAGCTCTTTATCCGTCTGTCTGCATGTCCGTCTGTATGTCCGTCTGCATGTCCGTCTGTATGTCTGTCTGCATGTCTGTCTGCATGTCGTCTGCACGTCGTCTGCATGTCTGTCTGCATGTCTGTCTGCACGTCTGTCTGCACGTCGTCTGCACGTCGTCTGCCTGTCCGTCTGCATGTCGTCTGCATGTCTCTCTGCATGTCGTCTGCTTGTCTATCTGCATGTCCGTCTGCATGTCGTCTGCATGTCGTCTGCATGTCTCTCTGCATGTCCGTCTGCATGTCCGTCTGCATGTCGTCTGCATGTCGTCTGCATGTCCTCTGCATGTCCGTCTGCATGTCGTCTGCATGTCGTCTGCATGTCCTCTGCATGTCCGTCTGCATGTCCGTCTGCATGTCGTCTGCATGTCGTCTGCATGTCCGTCTGCATGTCGTCTGCATGTCCGTCTGCATGTCGTCTGCATGTCGTCTGCATGTCCGTCTGCATGTCGTCTGCATGTCCGTCTTTCTTACGAATCCATTCTCTCATTTCACTAAATGTTACGTTGTATGCGCTTGTTTAAATAATGTGGCATTTAATGCAAAACAAATGTAGTTGTTGGGCCGTGATGAAGGTACATATATGTACAATAAAAGAGAAGACAAAGAAGTATTTTCTCTTGTAGTGAATAATAGGCCGAAGTGGTTGTCATGAATGATCGTGGGTGTGCCGACATGGGCTTAATGTTTCCCTGTGATGTTTATGTGTATGTAAGTGTGTTCAGGCCTGTGTTGAGTTTGTTCCCACAACAATATATAGCGACCGAACAGAGAGACGCACACGGAAGAATGGAGCCACACGGAGGAATGCACGACTCGGACCTGCAGCCATTGTGTCCAAATACAATATCTGACTTCCTTTAGATGCCAGACTCCACAGACACACACATGCATGCATGGGAGTTGAATAGCAGGCAGAGAGGCACTGGGCCCACTTCCTCGGCTGTGGAAGCGGGTGGGGGGCGGGGGGAGGGTGGAGGGGTTGGTACAAACTAGAGTCTCACACTCACTCCTGGTTAGTCCTCTGGCCACAAACTGCTCTCATCCGTCAGCTGAAGGAGCGCTACATTCGTTCATCTGTCCGTCTTTCTTGGATTTTGCTTCAAGTCGTCTCAAGGCCACATTCTGCAGCTCAAGTTGGAGAACCACACACGCACACATACACACACACACACTCACAAACAAACACACGAAAAGACAACTGGAAGACATCTGGACCGGTTCAAAGCACCTGACACACAAACACCTTCTCCTGCGTCAGGCCGCCGAAGAAGAGAACGGAGGCTGCTGAGGAAGAGGAGAGCAGCCACTTCATCCACGTCGTCCACCCTACATCAGGTAAAGCGTGTGTGTGTGTGTATTTGTGTGTCAGTGTCACAAACTCCAGGGTTAATGTTCAGTGTTTTCTCGTTAGTTTTATCCTCGTCTTGGTGGAAAATCCACAACAATCCACAACAATCCACAAAAAATATATATATATATATGTGTATACACTATACAATATATATTTATATATATATGTTACTAAAGAAAAATATTTAAATTTAGGAGTAAGAAGTAAAGAAAACCACCCTAAGTGGATGTAGTCATCAGAAAGAATGTTTAGCTCCAAGACCAAATGTGTTTGTTTCAGGAGAAATGTAACACGTTTAACGTGGCGCAAGAACCAACAAACTAAGAAGAAAGGAGTGAATCAAAGATAATCTGCCTTTTGTTCTTCTTATGAGAGACTTCAAAGCGGTTTATTCAGAGTAGAAAAGAAGCCAAAATTGGACCCAAATATGTAAATTAAAAGAAATTCAATGGAAATATTTTTGTACAAATCTCACATTTTTATTATATTGACACTTTTAATTGAGAGGTATTAATGATGTAAATATAAATAACTATTATTATCTGATCAAAAACATCCTCTGTCTGAGTGAACGGTTCATAATGTAATCCATCATTAACCAGCATGTGTGTGTGTGTGTGTGTGTGTGTGTGTGTGTGTGTGTGTGTGTGTGTGTGTGTTATCTAGACAGGATGCCGAACAATACTGAGTGCTGGACACACACACTAATACACACAAATGCACACAAACATGCACGGAAAGGAGGGGAGAAAGTCTATAGAAGGAAGTAATATTGCTATTAATGATGATGGGAGCACTTGTGCAAGAGTAAATACATACACACACACACACACACACAAACACACACACACACACACACACACCCACACACAGTTTGTTCAAAGCCAGCAGGTTTCCTAAGAACAGGAAGGGCGGGCCATTTAAGGTTTAAGGACGTTTAATAAATAAGGGAAGCTCAGAACAAGTTTAGGCTTTTTATTCCCGGCCTTTATGTTGCAGATATAAATCAATAAATGCAACAAAAAAAGATGCTCTAACTTTTGCTTTCATTTGGGACTTGAAATTCTCTCAAGATGTGTTCACTTTTTAGGGGGTTAAACCTGAACCGCCGCCATGTTGAGAGCTATTGAGAGGCCATTGATGCTCCAAACGTGGGTCTGGCACCCTCAAAGTGTGTAATTCACGGCTTCCATATCAGATCATATTCAGGCTGAGTTTCTCCCGACAGGGTGCTCCATTGATCGGTCGGGTTCGCCTGCAGCCACTTCCTTGTGACGGCTGAATTAAAAGTAAGATGTCTTTTGTTTTACCGCAGGGGGGATCAAATTCCTCTTATTTACAAAGGATCTTTTGAGAAACGCTTTAAAAAGTAAACCAGAAAAAAGGAAGTTCGAATTACAAGATGAAGATTAATTTACTCCCATAAAAAGACATTTGTGCAGCCTATCGTTGTGTCAACTGGTTGTTTGATCTCCACTTTAAAGACTGATGTGTGTGCAGACATTCATGGCATCATCACACACATATATGCTTTTTCTTACTGTAACTAATCTAGTATAATCTAGGCCTTTACTTAACTGTTGTTTCCTGTGAAGACGGAACTTTATTTTGAAAAGACTGTCTGAGGAAGAAGACATTTGTTGCTTGTGAGGAAAACGAGGAGTAACTTTTCTGATATTAATAACATATTACTTATTGATAGAGATAAGCTTTTAGTCAAAGGCAAAACCCTTACGTCTATTTAAAAAGGACAGTTTAAGAATAGAGAATAAACTTATGTGGACAATTCATGTGGCATAAAACGTGTGATGTTTTATTCAAATGTCATTTAATTTATTCACCCTGAGCTCCAAAACACCCAAAGTCAACAATTGTAATAAACTCCACCGCTGTTTCCAGAATGTAGAAACAATATGTCATCATTTCTGTATTGTTTGTTTAATTGAATGAAACGCTCATTTTACAGGGAAGAAAATAGTAGTAGTCGCATGCATAACACACACACGCGTATTAAAAAGTGTGTGTGTGTGTGTTTACAGTAGTTTTTCTTTCCCAGAGTCAGACGGAGGGAGTGTGGGAATCCAGAGTGAAGCTAAACTAAGAAACGGGCACAGAAGTATTTATTAATGGGGTCAGGACCGGACCGGCGAGGGATAATAGGAGAACACACACACACACACAAACACACACATTGTGCTTTGGTCAGCTGTGCATTTTCCATCAAAGTATAACTATACCCTAAAATGGATCTACAGGTTTTATTCTATTATTGGATCGATGATTTGAATCGTCTTACCCGCTAAATGCTTTTTGGTTGAGGTATTTTTAACAGACATTTTCACAACTAATGAACCAGAGGATGAGATTGCCATGAAGCTGAACGTGACCCCGATGCACACAAACACCTTGTCTCTGATTTTAGTTCCTGCTGAGAGACAAATAAATAAATAGAAAGTCTGCGCTGAGCCGTCATGGCGGACTGGAGCCTGCTGGGAAACTTCCTGGAGGAAGTGCAGGAGCACTCGACCTCCGTTGGCAAGGTTACAACACACATGAAATATAAAATGAAAAATCAATTATCAATAACTGTTCGTCTGAACCCGAAGCGAATCGTTGTTTCTCCCTCTCACCTCCTCCACAGGTGTGGCTGACCGTCCTCTTCATCTTCCGCATCCTGGTGCTCGGGACGGCCGCCGAGTCTTCCTGGGGAGACGAGCAGGAGGACTTCAACTGCGACACCGAGCAGCCGGGGCTGCGAGAACGTTTGCTACGACCGAGCTTTTCTCATCGCCCACATACGATACTGGGTAACGGGGGCCGCAGAGGGAGAGCAGCTGTTCACATCTGGTCGCTGTTGTCAATCGGGTTAAATCTCACACACATTCGTTGCCCGCCAGGTGCTGCAGATCTGTGTTCGTGTCCACTCCCAGCCTCATCTACATGGGCCACGCCATGCACACCGTCCGCATGGAGGAGAAGAGGAGGAGCCGGGAGGAGGAGGACGGGGACGGGGGGGAGAGGCAGGAGGACCCGGGAGGGGGCGGAGGGGATGGAGGAGGAGAGAAACACGGGAGGAAAGGAGAGAAGGACAGAGGAAAGGAGGAAAGCAGAGACGGTCAGGCGGCAGGTCGAGTGCGTCTGAGGGGCGCGCTGCTGCAGACGTACGTCCTGAGCATCCTGCTGCGGAGCGTCATGGAGGTACAACGACAATGAGAGAAGAATAACAGACGTGTAGTGTTAAATGACTCCACCTGACTGTGATTGGACCTCCACTCAGGTGGTGTTCCTGCTCCTCCAGTACTTCATGTACGGCGTCTTCCTCAACCCTCTGTATGTCTGCAAGGTAAAACCAGGCGTCTGAGTCACGGTGTTCCTAACGCGAGATTCGGGCCCTCACACACTGTCTCCCCCCACAGGCCTGGCCGTGTCCTCATCCAGTGAACTGTTACGTCTCCAGGCCGACGGAGAAGAACGTCTTCATAGTGTTCATGATGACCGTGTCCGCCGTCTCCCTGCTCCTCAGCGTGCTCGAGCTGCATCACCTGGCGTGGAGACACTGCTGCAGGTACGCGCGCTCACCGTAACTTTAAGAGGGTTTGTGTCTTTTAATGAGATCAGACAGACAACAGCTGGCAAGATTGTTCACTTATTCAAAGCACAAACATTAGATATTAAAAAAGAGAATGTATGTTGCCATCAGTGCTGGAAAATACTGTTATATACATGTATATGTAATACAAATATATTGCAGAATCAACAGTACTGTCAGGGATGCGGGGAAGGCAGGACTCAAACGCATACTTTTAACCAAAAAAAAGACTTTAATAGTCAAAAAAGGCAGAAGACAAAAGGCCAAGGGTCAAAAAACGCACACAGGAACCAGGGCAAAAAGGCAGGCAGGAACTAGACACATCCGGGACATTCGACAATGACGCAACAAGTGACAAGAGACACACACGGCTTAAATCCACTAGGGAGGTGCAGGTGGTTGGACACAGGTGGAAACAATCAGACAATCACAGGGGATGACAGGACAAGGCAGGAAGTTACCCAGGGAGACAAGAAGCAGAAAACTACAAAATAAGACAGGAAATAAACCCACACCGTGACAGATACTTTTGAGACTTTCTATTGACCTTTACTGGAGGGGACAAGTGAGGTCAAGGAAGACGTGGAGGACGTGTTGGCGCGCACATTGAGTTGTGTTTTGTGATGTGAAATGTGATTTCTCCGTTTGCAGGCGTCATTTCTCAAGAGCGAAGGCCGTCACTCTAGCCAACGCCTCGCTGGCCCGTCAGCTCTCTGTGCCCCCCCCGCTGCCGCCCACCCCTCCCCCGGACTTCAACCAGTGCGTGATGGGCTCCTCCCACTTCCTGCCGCTCCCTTTCCCCAACCACCGCCTCGCCGACCAGCAGAACTCCGACAACATGGCCGCCGAGAAGAACAAAATGGCCGCTGCCGCCGCAGAGGAGGTGACCCTCCTCCAGATGAGCCGCTACTCACCCGCGTGGCCCGCGGCGGGCGGCGGTCAGATCCAAGATGGCGGATACCTGAGGACCGGCGACGGGGAGACGGGCGGGGGTCACAGGGACCGACGGAGGTTCAGCAGGACGAGCGGAACGAGCAGCCGGACCCGAGCCGACGACCTCTCGGTTTAGAGGTCACGCTCAGGACATCGTCCTCGTTGAAGAACGGACCCTCTGTTGTCACATCAGGACCAAAGTCTCAAGCAACGCGCGATAAAAAAGAAGTTACATTATTCATGCGTTTCACAAAAAAATGCGTGCAGTCTTTTCAAAGTAAACTACTCAGTTATCTTTAGGCAACAAAATGATTTAACTAACTTTGTGAATTTTGTTTGTTTGTAAACGACTGGGCCTCACGTCCCTCTCGGACGTCCCACATGGAGGGGAACTTGTTTGACTACTGACACTTTTAACACTTTTTTTTTGGTGTACTTGATTTATGTTAATGTCTCATCGTGACTGAAACACGTTGGACAATATTTTTGGTCTGAAATGTAGGTTTTGTGTTATTTGCAGACTCCTGTTGATTATTGTTGAACTCGATGTGACTCGGTCGTGGAGCCTTAATAGAAATGTTTTCCACAACAGACATTTTGACATTTTATGGTAGTAAAAGCTCCCAGTTGTCCCAGATACCAGGACACTGAGCAGAAGCTGCAAAATGGAATTTAGCAATCATTTATTTTATATTTTTTGCACTTTTTTCTTTTTTTTTTGCATGATTTTTCTACTGACATATAAATTAATGTGAAATAATGTGAAAAAAAGACCTACTAATGGTGGAAACGTTGCAATTTCAAAGGACTGCTGTGGGAATATCCTGGTGGTTTTATTAAAACATATCTTCTTGATCAATTGTTACACGTCAATTTTAGGATTTCATGTTCTCCCTTTCTGAAAATATGATATTAGTATTTTCTCCGTTATTCAGATTAAGTGTAACAGCTAGCTGTTATTGAAATAACAGTAAAACTCAGTATTTAAGGCCTGTTGTGGATAACTCATTTGTACCCTTGACACACTTAAATAACCCCCTGGCATCAACACATCTATTATAATAAATGGCTTTGTATGTGTGGTTCAGAAAGGCCCAAAAAACAACAACATTTTCCCCCTGAGGCATCGTTATGGCAACTAGAGATCACGTTGCATTGCTTGAAGGCTCTCTATATCCCCTTTGACCCACCCGGTTTATTTCTAACCGGAGGTTTAAAAAGTTTGAGAAAGGGGCACCGTGGTATTCAAGAGAAAGCTGTGCCTCGTTGCCGGGGCAAAGGTCAAGTTTCAGCTGATGTGAGAGTTTCCAGTCAGGCCATCTTAACGCATCAGGAATGTTTGGGAACTGAAAAAATGTTCTTTCCCTTTTCTTCTCCTCCCATCCGCCATGTTTACCCGAGTTTAAAATCAAAATCGAAATCAAAAGATGAAATGGTAAATAAATAATCATTTGATGGTAAATTAAGGATAATCGTTTCTTTTTTAAATGTCAGAAATAAAACCGAAGAAAACCAGTTAATTCAAATGACGTAGATGGGAGGGCTGTACTCTGGAAGGCTTAAAAGAGAAGCTTAAACACGCTCATAGGAGAATTGGAAAGGAAATATGCCAAAACACTTATTTGAGAAGTGAAATCAAAACAGAGTTGTACATTTATTAGTATCTGTTTAGGCTCCCTCTTGTGGCTCAATACAGAACTGCATGTTGAAGACAACATGTTTGATATTTGTGAGGTTTATCACGTAGCGCTCTGAAATGTGATTTTAATGTTACTCGTTCTTCTACTGGATCGATGTTCAAGAATGACTTTTGCTTAAAAACAAGCTGACGGTCCAGTTGAAGCTCTGTAAGGTGGAGCTGGAGATCGTCACCGATATTTGATTCTCTGTAGATTCAGCACTTTATTCTAAGAGTTAGAGTTCAGGGGCCATCGACGACGGTCCTGAGAAACAAGTGTATGAGTGTACACACACACACACACACCTGTCACTGTGCTTTGGTCCCGTGTCCGCTGTATTTATATCTCAGAAGGGAGACCCTCGTTTACAGCTGGCTGTGCGTGTACACGCGTGTGTACCTTCTTCCGTTGCTCCTTTTAAATGTCAGAGTGTCATTTTAAAATAACACATAACATTGTTAATTTAGTGTCTGATTATTTGTATCATTTTATTGTTTGGCTGTTTCTAACGCGTTTCAATGAGGAGACAAGCAGTCCTGTTTATATTGCTGGATGTTTTATTTGAATTTAGTCTTCATCCATCCCGTCCACAACATTATGATATTGTTCATGAGCATTCAGAGTTTTGCTGTTGTACGTCAACGGCAAGCAGCCCCCATCGAAACATTTCACAAGCGACAGTAAAATAATTTAAAACGTTTCTCTTTTCAGGCCTGTGAAACCAGGTAAATAACATAACCTCCATTCTCTCCGGATAGTTCCTGCGTGTGGTACAGTAGCTGCGCAGGTGATCGTTTGCCAGCTGATTTCACAGCGGTGGGATCTCAGCGTGGTTTGAAGGCATTTATACACATTTATATATTCATACCCAACAATTCCTAGCTGTAGGGAGACGGTTCTCAGTGTCACTGTATTAAGAAGAAAATAAAAGTTTGTACCGGGTCTGGTGACTAGCGGGGCCTTAAAAACAGGAGGTCAGGGGCTGCTTCAGTTACCTAACAGGTCTTTGAATGAAACACTTTGTCGTGGTAAGTGATAGTTTCTGACCACGAACAGATGAGGACAGGACAAGAGAGCGTAGAAAGTCTCTGGTTAGAAACTCCAGGTGGCATGAAAGCTTTTCTCTTAGTAATAGGTTTAGAAATGTTAAAGATGCAGTGTGGCTCTGTACCAGACATGTGATTAAAAACAGAATGAGTGGCGGGTCAGGTGACCTATCCACTTGAGAAATATTAAATAATGGGCTTAGTTAGTACAGAGCCACACAGAAAATAAAATAAGACAGTAGTTTCATGTTCGGCCATTTGAACAATTGCCTGCATCCTAAACTTATAATAACATTAGCTGTTAGCTCACAGCGCACTTTGCTAACCATAGATGACATAAATTAACTTCCTCTGCAAATGACTCAACATAAAACGGTATATTCAGCATGTGTACATCTAATAATAACAAAAATAAAATAATATGACGTTAAATATTGTGAATTTAATGACTGCTTCATGAAGTTGCTGATTTAAGGTAGGCGATGAGGTCTGTGCGCTCTCCCTTCTTTTTGATGCCGGCGAAGATCATTTTGGTTCCGGGAATGTACTTCTTGGGGTTCTCCAGGTATTCCATCAAGGTGTCCTCCCCCCACACAATACCTGGGAGAAGACAGATGATCGATGATCAAAGCGGGTAAAAGAATTTGGGCGGGATAACGGAGACTGAGCGTCAGTAACAAAAGGTGTTGATTAGTTATGACACGATTACCTTTAGAAAACTACAATGTAACAATGTATTCACTGTAGTTACATGTGTCACACCTTCCCATGATTGCACATAATATTTTAACTACGGATATCTTGATCGTCGAGCCTCGTGAACTGACCTTTGCTCTTGTTGGCGTCCGTGTATGAAAAACCATCGGCCTGGCCGGTCTTGCGTCCGAACAGGCCCCAGAGGTTGGGGCCCACCTTGTGTTTGCCCCCCTCCTCTACTGTGTGGCACTGAGCACACTTCTGGACGAAGGCCTTCTTTCCCTTGGCAATGTCTCCCATAGTCAGCTGAGTGAAGAGAGTGTGAAGTATGAACACAAATTCAGAATATAATACGATAGACAGCAGGGAGCTCATTCACGGGGCCATGTTGTGAAGGTCGCTGAAGGTCACACCTAGAGCCCCGGGCGTCCTACACGTACCCTTAACTAAGTTAAGTTATGGCGCCGCCGAGGTCGTTTCAAGGAAATGGGCCATGAAACGTGCACACGGAAACGCTCCAAACCAGCGCGGCGGCGCATACCGCCGAGTTACCTCCCCGAATTTAGCTCCCCAGCGGGAGGCCTCGGCTCGGGTTACATCCCGGGGAAAGCTGCCGGTCTGGGGGAGTTAGTAACGCGTCGCCCGCACCGAGGAGCAGCCAGGACCGACGGCACCGGTGTAACGGCAAAATATGTTCCCGTGCGCGTCACGTTCAAATAGAGGCGTTTCAAATAGAAAGCGGTTATTATGGGTGTTACAAAAAAAACAACGTAATATGTCACCGGAATAGACATTTGTTTGAAATGTCCTGACGTGATCCAAGCTAACGTCGGTAATAACCTACCATTATCTAACGTTACGTCACGTCTAATGGTAGATCCCTCATTCCGTGTTGCTATGAGCCATAGGCTCCCAGTACACCACACATTAATGTATACATTTTATAAGTTAAAAAGGTTAACACACGGTTAGCATAAATGCTGTAGCAGCCGCTAACATGTCAGCGGGGGGGGGGATACCGGATACCCGGTTGTCCCTTTCTACAAGGACACGCAAGCGCCGCCAAAGCGAAAGCAGTTCCCCGGTCAAACCTGCTTATATGGTATTAATGGTCCCATTGTAGTGCACACATCCACTGTGCTGGCATGCCAGTAAGGTTAGCCCGGGTGTGCGTCCATGTCACATATTCGAGATGTCAAGGATGCTTCAATGTCGACGTCCTAACATCCTCTGCGGTGTTAGCTAACACTTTTTACCGACTCGGCGAGAACATTAGGAAGGAGCTTAAATGTAAACCTTCCGCACACTACGGAAATGCGCCATTATATTTGCGCATTACACTTGTACAACTGCCTGGGTTGATTAACCCGTTTGGTTAAGGTTACGTTAAAGGAGCCATTCAATAGCGCTAACGTTAGCTAGCTAAAGCTAAAGCTAAAGCTAAGGCTAAACCGTTAGGAATCTTTTATTCTTCTTCTTGCATTCCTTCTGCTGTGCTTCGTTTCATTTCAGTGGAATGAAACGATCTCAAAACGCGACATGTATTTGCTACACCTGCGAAATATGAAATATAAATAATTACCTTTGGATTAAAATCACGCCGGTGGAGGTTGAAGCTGCTTCTGTCGGCTGATGAGCAGGTTTCTGTCTGGCGGACGTAAAGAAGGTCACTTCACTTTAGAGGCACCGGCATTTGACGTCATCATCCGATCACGTGCCTAATAGTCCGGCCCAGTCCCATTTCTAGAAAGACAAGTTTCCTTAACTGAAGTCACATCGTTACATACATTAGAAAACCGATGGATTTTGGGGACGCAATGCTTAATATATACACTAATGAAATAGTCTGTTTTAGAAAATGTAAAATATGGCGTTGAAGATTTGTCGATATTCTCGTGGAAGATGAGACCAGGGTCCGAGAATGACGCGAGAAATGTATTTTGTCACACGTACACGCAACTGGTCCCATATCTCAGCTTCCAGGCACCTGCCGGAGAAGCCTTTTAGGGGGATCCATCGCATGTACACACAGAAATATGTATTTTCTGCCATTATGGAATATAGTGAAGAATATATCCAAGTACATGTGATCAATACATAACTTTTATTTTGCCATATTTATTGATATACTTCTAACATATACTTGTGTAATAGTAAGTAAACGTTCATACACACATCACCTCTCTGAAGTTCCTCACAATAAAAGATACAAGTAAGACGTAAAGAAGGAACAACGTATAAGTAAGAAAGATGATTCAATAAAACTAAGGTGACCACCATATCCTCAAGGGCAACAGCTGGAGTTAACAACCGCAAAGCACCGCCCCTTTTAGTTTTCGACACGGTCAGAGTTTAACCTCGGTGACAACCTGACATAAGACACGAGCCTCTGACGCAATATCATCAGCTGACTGCCGTGTTACGCGCACACACACACCTTGTCAAGCACATACCTCGAATATAGTTGGCATTCACATTGTAGTGTTTGTCGACAAAGACTTATAGAACATTACTGTATTACAATATTAGGCGCAGGAAGACTATTTTTCTTTTCCAACCCTATATTTAAAAATAAAAATGCAATTGGTATAGCCTATTGCGTTACCAGGTGAAATATGCATTTATTGCGTATGCTTTCTGAGCCAGTTTGTAATAAACTATATAACACACTGGTAAAACAAAATGACTTTACTAAGACAAAACGAACCGTTTGTGACTATTTTTGTTACCTAATATTTGCACACGAGATTCTCGACTCAACCCGTGGCATCGCGAGAGTTCCAGCCGCCGTGGACGCACCCCGTCATAACTGCCATTACCATCGACATGCATGTCTGTGGCCGTTACAGCCTCCATCCAGTAGGAGGCAATGAACGATCAGTCTCTTCTTCGGTCAGCCCTCGTGATAGCTTCCCGGACATGGGAATTTACACAACTATCCAACCACAAACCGCTAAATTAGGAGTAAACTAACTCAATGCAACTTATGGTCAACAAGTATAAAGATGAAGTCCTATGACTTGTTTTTCCTTTGCTGTCCCTTCCATACACTTACTACAACCTCCACATTCTGTTTTTCTAAACCACATTTCTCTTAGTATCTTATTTTTCAATGTCGTCATGAATAAATAAACGACGGTCGCCGTCTTTCGGCCACGGTCTACCCGACTAACTGGTTTTAAAATTTTCCGAGTTTACGGAGGAAGAGGGGGGTTACGAGGCGCACCTGAATGCAGCACCGAAGGCCGCTTGATGCCGCGTCAGTGTGGCGAGGCGAAGGACCAAGATGGAGGAGTTCCCAACAAACACCAACACAAAACAAACCGAAAACCTCGACGAACCTCCCAACAGTCGGCTTTTCGTGGTCACGAGTCGGTCCATAACCGAGGATGAGCTTCGGGAAAGCTTTTCAGTTTACGGAGACATCCACGGCGTCTGGGTCGTCAAAGACAAGCAGACGAAGGAGTCCAAAGGAATCGCTTATGTGAAATTCGCAAAGTCATCGCAGGCCTGCCTGGCCATGGAGGAGATGCACGGCAGAGTCCTGGTGGAGGGGACTAAACCCGTCAAGGTACCGCCGACGCATGGGTCGCTATGGCAACAGGGTTTAGGGTTGACGGTATCATGTCGATGTTCCGTTGGTGCGTGTTGTTAGCTTGCTAGCAGTGCTACGGCTAATGGGCGGAAGCCTCCCCGGTTTCAAAATACTGTCGTAAACCGGAGGGAGTTTGGTGACCGGGTGGTTTCTTGTTGGTCGTGTAGGTGTTCATCGCGCAGTCCAGGTCCTCAACGAGACACAGAGACGTAGAGGATGAGGAGCTGACCAGGATCTTCGTTATGATCCCGAAGTCCTTCTCGGAGGAGGACCTTAAGGACACATTCAAAGTAACTCATTCATATTCAGTACTTTTAATACTGTGCTCATTCAAACCAATGGACTTATTTATTTCCTCTTTTCCTATTTATAACTCTCTGAAATAGTAGAATGACCTAGAAGATTCTCTGGAACTGCCATCTTTTGACACTTCCTATGAATGGAAACATTGAACAAAGCTTTATCCCACACAACCAGTTTAGCAGCATGCCTGAGGACCGATGTCATCCCTGGCTTTGTCTCCGTCTCTCTTCAGGAGTACGGCGATATCGAGTATTGTGTGATCATCAAGAATAAGTCCACCGGGGAAAGCAAAGGCCTGGGCTACGTGAGATACTACAAACCCTCCCAAGCTGCCATCGCCATAGAGAACTGTGACAAAAGTAATTTCAAAAGCCTTCACGGATCCATTACTGGTGGTGGAAGTGGCCGCGGGAAGAAACGCGGTTTGGTCTTAATGCCAAGGATTAGTTGATGCTGTCTGAGAGCTGTGGCGTTGATGATGATGATGACGGCGGTGTTGTTAGCTTACAGGGCCATCCTCGCCGAACCTCGCACCAAAGCGCCAGTGACCGAAGACTACTCCGGGGGAACGTCCAGAGGCGATTACTCGGGTGGTGGCGGCGGCGGCAGTGACTCCTCTAACCAGTATGCCTTTCCTATGGGTACGCCGTTGTTTGACCTCCTTATTCGGTATTCATCAGGCTTCCAGTTTTCAGTTCAACGCCTGTGATCAGCTCGTAGGTCGGGAGCGAGACACTCAGCACTGATGCCTGTGCTTTGTGTCGTACTTTAAAGACCTCATTGTTCAATAACGGGTGTTTAAATTGTGGCCCGATACATTTTTAGCATCTGCACCAATGTTTTTATGAGTAGGCACCTGTTTTCCTGCCAATTACTTCCCATTATTCAATTCGTTTTATTTCATTTTGCATAGCCCAACATTATAAATGCGCCTCGGACTGCTTACCTGTCCTCCCCCCTGGTGTCCCTCCACAGCTGACCATGGCAACTACCCGGCCATCGACTACCGCTCCAGCGTGGACTTCACGTGCTGCCTCATGATGTCGACGCGGGCCGCGCTGAGCCAGGAGCAGGTTTTTGCTCTCTTTGACCTTATTCCCGGCATGGAGTACTGTGAGCTGCAGAGAGACGCTTACGGAATGAACAAAGGTTAGTGTGATCGCAAAGGCCGGCCTTCATTCCCCCCGGCAGTGGCAGTTGTTATTCGCTTACCGTTCGTTGGTTGTCACACCAGCTGCAGTTGTGTGTGAGTTCTTTGATGCCTCTAAACCTAAAACTTGTCCTGTCGGCCTCAGGTCACGCTCTGATTCGCTACGCCAATCTGGGATCGTCGTTTTACGCCAGAGAAAAGCTGAATGGCTTTGAATATCCGCCCGGCAACAGGCTGTCAGTCAATTTTGTGGACGACGGCGAGGACCGCAGCAGGTACACACAGCCACACGCGTGTATATTCTCATTAAAAAACACCAGCATGTGTCTGCAGTAAAGTTTGCTACGTGGTTGGAAGTGTTTGGCGACGCTGAGACAGCTCTTGTTTCTGTGTAGTCCCGTCGGTCGGATGGCCGTGCAGTTTGTTACAACTCAGATGATGTCGGCACCGTGGAACGGACCCTCCTCCAGCCAATCAATGAAACCTGTAAGTATATATATTTCCTTTCAGGTTATATTAACTCTTAAGTTCTTATCTCTGTACACAGTTCTTGTATTTTAGACCTTTTATTGACATGTTGAAGCACAATCGCTCATCCTGTGTGTGTGTCTTTGTCCTCCAGAGTTTCCCCATCTCCCCGATGCTCCGGATCCAGACGGACGTCAACCTGCCGCCTCTGAAAAAGCTCGCCCCCCCCGACAGCAAGGCGAAGGAGCGCTTGTTTGTCGTGTTCAGTCCCTCCCCGCTGCCTCCCGATGTGCTGGAGGACGTTTTCTGGTTGGCCTCATATTCATTTATCGTACTTTATTTGTAACAACACAACAGGCACGTTCCATTAACCAGTAGATCAAATCCATCATCTCGCTACGCTGGAAGGGAGCGTCCCGCTAAATGCTCTTACATTACTGTGCAATTATCCTGCAGACAATCGGGCGTAACTAAGAATTCTGTCTGTTTGTAGTCGCTACGGTTCCCTCATCGAGGTCCATTTGGTCCCTGGAAGGAAGGTCGGATACATGAAGTATTCAGAGAAACAGGTGAGACTTTGGACTGAAGGTGGAGCGTGTAAACAACAGAAGAATAGGCGGCATTGGGTGTAAGAAAGATGTCTGTATAAATGCAGACTTTAGAATGAATGCCAGTAAAGATGGAGTCGCATGTTCTCCGCTCAGTGTGCAGACGACGCCATGGCGGCGCTCCACGGTCAGGTCGTCAACGGCGTGAAGATGAAGGTGATGCTGGCCGATCCCCCCAGAGAGGAATCCCATAAACGGCCTCGGAACTTCTAGGAACACGTGACCCAAATGGGCGGTAAGTTTTCTGCGGCAGCGAACGGCAGTATTAACCGAAGACCTGTGTACCAAAGCACTTCAGCGTGCGATGCTCGTTACGTGGTTTTTAAAAGCTACAGCGAGCAGAGAAGAAGAACATGACCACTTTGGCATCCAAGTTTAATCTAACACACCTGTAAAACTGCTTCCTGTCGTCGTGGTGACAGCTGAGTTCTTGTCTCTCCCTGTGAATAACACTGCAGCTTCTTGTTCCCTAGGCGACTGTTGTCACGACACAATGACACCTGACCTGACCGACCGACCCATATCAAGACCTCCTCCTGACCACTGACCCGACCTTTGACACCTGTATGACCGTACTTCTATCCGGTGACTCACTGATAGTAAATAGCATGCGGAAGCAGCAGCAGAAGTGGAGTCTTAATCATTCGTCTGTGTAGTTTGTGGTAAGCGCCGTGTTTTTATCATGTTCACTTTGGGTTGGGGGGCATTTTTTTTTTTTTATCCTGATAGCAGGAAAAGATTTGTTTTAAAACTGGTCCTTTTTTTATTAATTGTATTCCCTGTTATCTCCTCCCTCCCCATGTAAAGCTTAGGTGAAAGGTGTTAGATTGTACAAGTTCAAATAAATCATTTAAACATCGCCTTCAGCCTCGTCTCTTAATATTTAGAATTTTATTTCAATCATGTTTTTTGAACAATTGTCAGATTTCTTGTGAAGTGAAGGTAAATAAAGTGAGTTACAACCACAAAAGCATCTAAGATTTGCATTTGTTGAATTTAAGGTCAGTAGGCTGCATCTGGGAAATTGGTTACACCCAAAATGCAGCTTGAGTGGCTGAATTCACATTTAAAGACCTTATTTTGAATTGTTGCTCATGTATTTATGCATATTTTAGTCACAAGAAGACACTGGATGAACAGTAATCTTTTATTTCTTCAGGAGGCATCAGGAGAACATTATTTACAATTGTGTGTTGGAAATGGGACGTTTGCGCCCCCTGCTGGGGGCTTTATTACTGCTCTGCTCTCAGAAGAAGAGCAACGTATTAGAAGCTTCTTGTGGACTTCTTTCAAAAAGTTGAATTAACTCTCGGTAAAATCTTTTTCAAACTCCAGCCTTTTATTTTGGTATGAGGTGAACAGATTCAGTTTCTTACAACAGAATCCCTCCTGTTCATCCATCTTCAGTACTCATTCAAACATCCGACGATGTCACTTCATTTATTGAGTTGAGGCCCTTACAATGTCTCACTATTTAACCGATAAGGAAGCCTGATTTCTCAGGAGTAACGCTGGCGAGTTTGTCCTGCGGGATGAAACGGCAGAAATCTTGTTTTCACATGGAGTCGACCCCGGCGAGGGAATTGAGAGACGGCCGAGGACGCGCCAGGATGTGAGAAGACAGAGGCGTCAAGAGACGGGCAGTGATGTCATTAAAGAATCAGGCTTTATTACTGGAGTCTCTGGAAGTTAAAATCATTAGAACGTCTGTCTGTGTTTAGCTCCATGCATCCACGGCTCGATCCCGATTGTCCCTTAGTCCGTCTTCCCCCCCTCCCCCCCTCTTCAGGAGCTCACTCTTCCAGCGCCAGTGTGTTGAGTTCCTCGTCCAGCTCCTCCAGGTCTTCGCCCGTGAACAAGTTCTCATCCACCGGTACTTCCTCTTCCTCGTCGTCCTCCTCCTCCTCCCCACCTCCCTCCGCCCCCGAAAGCCCGTTGGCCTCGGCGCCGCCGCAAGCTCCGTTCAGCTGCTCCTCTGCAGAGGGGGAGAAGCAGAAGTTAGGATTTGAACTACAAACCTCAAAGCTGGGGACAAATAGCCGCCGCCGCCGCCCTCCTCCTCCTCCTCACCGCTGTGTGTGGCTGCCGGCCGAGTCTTATTCCTGGAGGTGAAGCGGTCCGTGGATGCGACTGTAATGCCTGTGTTGTCCACCTCTTGTGGAACAAAGCGGGATAGGTCTATATCCTGGAACTCCGTCAAACTTGCCTGAAATTAAAGGGAGTTTGATGCAGTTTAAAAAATTAAAATGTGAAAGTGTTGGTGGTACTGAGATGGTTTCTATCTAATAAGTGATACAGCGATGCTCTAAAGGCAGCAGGTTAGGTCCTGCTAGATGTTTTTGCACTTGATCGGCTTCACTCATTCACAAAAAAAACCACCAGGAAATAAACTGTGACAAAAAGGCACAACTGTTAATTTAAGAGAATTGTTCCTTTGTTGCATATGACTGGTTTCACAGCCTGAATCGCACAACAGGTGCAGACAATTAACAGAATGATCATTTTCTTAGTGAAAAAGGCAGACGGGAATGAATGATGATGAAAGTCTGGGGACACAAACTCATCTGTAGGAAAGCTCATTAATATTTGCTTCGGAGGAAAACGTGGTGATGGAGACTTTTGAGGCTCATGTGCTGAATATGAAATATTTGCAGCATAGCGATGCAGACAGAGACATCATTCCAATAGTTTGTGAGTTAAATTAAATATCTGATTTCACTACAATCAAAAAACAGGATACAAACCGAGCAGCAGTCCTGAAATCAAGCGTGTGAATATTTTCTTTTACAAAAACGCATTACGTAAAAGTATTTCGGTGACAAACCGCACCCCCAGCCGCGGCGTTACCTTATCATCGTTTTCCTCGTCGTTTTCATCGTCGCTGACAAACTGAGTGTCGGCGGCCTCGTCGTCGTCCTCGTCAATCAAATCCGGCCGGAATTCAAACACCTCGCGCCCGCTCACCTGCAGACAGACGCATTCGATTCACCACTGTGGAAACGCCTGCGTCATAAATGGCTAAATAAAGAAGGATAACTTAACCCCCCCCCCTCACCACTAGCGATTTGCCGGACTTGAAGTCAGCCTTCTTCCTCTCCATCTCCAACGCGGCTTTGTCGATCTGTTGACGCACAACACACAGAGGAAAGCGTCAGACGTGGATCCGCCGCGCCGCTAACAAACGACCCGACGCGCTCCAAACCTTCTCCTGCCTTTTCCTCTTCTTCCAAGCCAGGAAGGTCTCCAGGGTGATCCGGGTCACGTTGGCGCCCAGAGCCGCTCGCTGCGGAGAGACAAGACGTCATTATAGTGGGAACCGTTTCCACGGCAACTGAGGTCAAAGCGCATTCGGCGGCTCCGTTTCGGTCTTTGGATTTTGGTTTGATGGAGCTCATCATAAAACGGTTTGACTGAACTTTATTGAAACATATTTAATGTCCACAAGTGCAGCTCAAACGTGAACAAACGGAATTTTTCGGACCCCCATAGTGACTAACGAGGAAGCTACAGAGTGTGTGTGTGTGTCTCCTCCCTCCAGCCGTACCTCGTTCTCTATCAGTTCCTCCAGCGAGATCTTGTCCTCCTCTTTCTCCTCCTTCTTCTTGTCCTTTTTCAGCACAAAGCCGGGGGGCAGAGCGTGCCGGTACATGCAGACGTCGCCCCCCACCGGACACGACCAGAACCAGCCGTACTTGTTGTTCTCTATGGCGTACAGGAAGTGCTTACACACCTGCAGACCACACGGGGCGACATTAGCGAGCAGGCTTCCACCAACAGCCGGTCACTTTATCAAATGATGCGTCTTCAATCCCTCGCTGTTTTTCCCCTCATCAGACGTGACTTACGATCTGCGTTTTGGCTTTCTTCTTCTCCGCCTCTCCGTGTTTTTTGTTGACCACCTCCTCCAGCTTCTTCTCGTCCCACTTGTCCATGGTGTCTAACCAGAAACACCACAAATAATTTAAACAGCATTTAGAGGGTATCTCTTCAAAAGAGGATTATGCACATGTTGATTGATTGAACGGCTGGAATACAGTTTGAAAGATATTCAAACTGTATTCCAGCCACGTCGGGGCGATTAGGTGAAACATCGTTACATAGTGGTACATTATAACCCTGTCACAGACGCTGCACACTCACCTTTCTCCAGCTCATCGTCTCTTTCGTCCACGTAGAGACTCCTCTTCTCACATTTCCTCTCCATCGTCAAATCATGGCTGAACTTGCACTTGTCTCCTTTGGTGCACTGACCCTGCTTAAAGAACGCACACAGGACCGACTTCGGATCAACACCTGCAGAGAACACAGAAGATTCGTTCAGGATTGTTTATCGGTTTCTGGTACAAAGGCCAAAATACTTTGGGCGTTTCTCTTCATGTTCGTGGAGCTTCTGTCACAGACCTTTGGCGACTTTCTGAGCAGCGACGACAGGTTTAAACAGCTCGTTGAGTTCATCCAACTCCTTCTTCTTGTCGATCTTCTTAGTGCTCTTATCTCCCTCGCCCTGAGCCGCCCAAACAAACACACAGATATATTTAAAAAGGAGCTCTTCCAGCGGCATGGAACAGCTGACATTAAGGATGAGGGCATCGGGGAGAAGAGCAGAAGCATGGAGAAGAGTGTGTTTGAGAGTGAGAAATATGGAGGGATGGAGGAGAAATGAAATAAATAACAAGATAATGAGAACAACAACACTCCTGACCGGTCTGGTAGGCGGCTTCACTTGCTGAGTAACGTTCTTGATGAACTTCTGCTGCTTGGCGCCTTTCTTGTTCTTCAGACCAAATGTCTTGTCCTGAAAAATAAAACCAACAAGAAAACAAAATGATACAACTTCCAACATCATCACGGAAGCAAGCAGCTCCAACAAAGCAAGAGCAACTTTCTGCAGAATCTAAAAAGGCCCTAATCCACGTTTTTAAAAACTTCCACAAACCATGAAGTAACGCAGCATACAAGGACTGACAGAATGCTACAAAAAGTTTACTAAAAGACGATGCGGTCAATTATTTGTTTATTGTTAAAACCATCATGAGGACACGTCAGTTGTCGGTAACCAATTATATTACTTGAGGTGGGAATATATTTTTTTTCTGGTTTTAAAAGCTAAATCATAGGATCAAAATGTAGGTATTTCTTCAAAAAAAAACACTTTTTTTCTTTATATCGGAGATTCTTTTGAATGAAAAGTGAGTTACAAATAAAAACACATTAGTTATTATGATTCTGGTGGCACTCGGGCTCACAGGTCCACTGTTTAATATCAAGCTAAATAGTAAACGGCACTGTTGACACCAAAATCCAACACACAAGTTAACGTGTGTCCATTACTAAAATATATATTTAAAACAACTACATGAAAAGTTGGGCTGTGTAGTTCCACTCAAACTGAACCCACGGATGAACGTGTCAGTTTCTGGACACACAGAACGTGGCCGGAGGAGATGAGGAATCAGGCTTTGGATTCACACGCTGTACTTTTTAATAAAATGATCTGTTAATCAGCTTCATATGAAATCAACTCTCCTCCTTTTGAGCATCTCGCCACGCACGGCGAGCACGGTGTTTAGTTGCACCCGGATAAACCTAAAAAAATCACACCGAGCAGCAGGCAACGTCAACTTTAACGCGTCACAGCGGCGAACAGGCGAGACGCGCCGGCAGACACGCGCGGTTCACGTTGTGGTCAGAACTGCTTTAAAAACACACACACACACACCGGCGACATCGGGATCTGATACACTGATTTCGTTCAGGATAAAAGTAAACGATCGTTTTTAGCTTAAATCCGCCGCCTCGTCCCCCCGTGAGGCCGAGCTGAAGCAGGAGGCCCATCGCGCCGCGCTAACGGCTGTTTCGGCGTTACGTCACGTTAAGAAAACCAAGCCGATTATACGCGCGAGCAGGAAGATAGAGACGCGTGGGTTTGACGTTAGGGATTCACGGGACATTTTAGAAACCTTGCTAGGACGCGGGTGTGACCGATGCGGCGGCGCGGCCTTGCTAAGCGGCTCGGTCGCCTCATTGAGATACGAGCATCGGTCAAAACGAACGAAAGTTGCCCGCCTGACAGTTGACGGGCTCGCTTTTGATTAAAGCACGACGATACTCGCGACTGTCGCGTCAACTAAACGAACCACGACGTCAGAATTAATTGGGAAGAGCGCTGACGACTGTCGGGAGGCCGGTGTAACTTCGGCGTTCCCCTGCCAGCTAACTGCGGTTAGCATGGTCAGCTAACGCCGACATGCTAACTCGTGTTATTTTGTCTTTACCTCAATTATCTTTTCCTTCTTCTTCTCTTGCGTTTTTTTACCACCCCCGGGCGGGGCGGGTTTCTTCGGAGGCATGTCGGCTCAGGTATCGCTGTGTACAAGACGCGAGTAGACGTGAAATATGTATTTTAAGCGGGGTGCCTCGGTGGGGAAGTCAGCTCCACATCACCCACTTGATGCTAACACAGCAGCGCGACGGCGCTTCTAGGCCACATGTGAGTTGTTGATGTCCTGTGGCGTCATCACGCACAGCGCGATGCACGGCGGGAGCTGTAGTCTACAGAACGGAAATGAAGTAGATGGATACATACTTTATTAATCACTCAAGGGGAAATTATTTTGCGACAGAATTATTTGATTGAGAAATATAAGTTAAAATATATATATATATAGAAAGAAAATACAATAATATTTAATTACCGTAACTTTAACCAAACAGTGTAACAGCGTTACAATAGTGTGAACTATTTGGCCAATATGACTTATTGTAAGTCATATTCCAGTGGACGGGACTGATCTATCTATGTCTATGCTGGTGACAGCTGGACAGTGTGTTTGAAAAGGTGCAGTAGGGGATGTAGAGGTGGTGTAGATGGTGGTCCTATCCCATATGGATTGCAATGTATTCAGTGCCCCGCTTACCTGTCGACGTGTCTCAATTAAGTTGGTCTGTAAATAAAGCAATATTCATGTGAATGTACAGGAAAAGGATATCCAACATTATAATATATGTCTGTATATTTAGATTTGCCGTATTTGTGGGAACTGCTGCAGCAATTGGGGTATTTGAGGTTTACGTTCTGTAATTGTAGTGCAGTGTTCGTGTTCTACCGCCAGGTGTCAGTGTTGGAGCTTCTGAAGGTTGAGATGAGAAGTAAGAGAGGCGCTTACTGGTTTATTGGTCAAGAAGTGCAACCACAATGCCAACATATATCCCTAGAGAGCACAGCGTTGATATAGTGACGAGAAGAAGAAAGAGTTGATTCCATAGAAGCAACGGGCTGATCGTCTTTTTTAGTATTACGTAATTTTAGCGGAACATATTGTCTCACTGTGCGAGTTTTAAAGTAGCATTCGGGAGTCATTAGTATCTGATTACTACAGAACCACACAGGGAAACTCCTTGAAATGCAGTCATAAGCGGTGCAATAACATTAGCAGATTCGATTTTGATTGTAATTGCTTTAACAGGCAACAGTTTATTTTGTGAAATGTACGTCTAGCAATTAGAACTGATTGACCCGCAAGACGCAAATGATCAAGACAAGCGAACAAATAGTCACTCGAGCGCAGAGGCAGAATGCTCGGAAGTCGGAGATGATTGGATGAATTATTTGGAAGGAGTTTAGGCACAAATACGAATGTTTAGTTAAACTCCTGAATGGCAGAATCTAATCCAGTGTGCCTTTTAATTTGCGAGGAAATAGTCCCGTACATGACAGAAAAAGGTTGTTAATGAGCCACCATCTGGCCAGTGGACACAAGACTGTTTTATTAGCATTTTGCCTCTATTTAACGTTTTTATTGCATAGGCCCAGGTCGATTAAGACACCCCTGGTAGGACTCTTACTGCTCGGATGATGTTGTAGAGCTGTCTGCAAACACCGCTGTGGAGGTCGTGTGGTCTCTGAGCTCAAAGTGCTTTGAGGAGGAGGTGGGGAGCAAAAAAAGGCGAATAAGAAAGAAGGGCAACATCCCCTATTCAACGGCACAGCAGCAGTCTTCCTCCATACTGCTCATCCTGAGAGAGTCAATCCCAGCCAGCGAGATGTGGTAACAATCAATCGTCTCTCGCATTCATTCAACTACAGGCAATTCCCCAGGCTCACAAATCAACCCGTCCTGCATGGTTTTTGGACTTTTGAAGCCCAGGAGTACCAGGAGAGAAGCTGTGCGGGGCACGAGGAGAACATGCAAACTCCTCTTGCTGTGAGTGCAAAGATCCACAGCACCCAGCCGCCGCACGGGTGCAGTCCTGCAGAAGAACCCCCCCGTTAGTTACCACAAGCGTGAGACGGAGTCATGGCCGCGCTCTTTTTACTGTTTCAGCCTCTGATTCAACTTGATGTTAATCAAATTTCATTTAGGTAACTAATGAGATTTCTTTTGGCACATTTGACATGTGTGGCCTTCGTCCACGTCGTGTCTCAGTTCACTGTTCAGGATGTGTGTGTGTGTGTGTGTGTGTGTGTGTGTCATTCAGCTGAGGAGTAGTCACGAGCCAAAATGGGTCACGCGCTCGCTGCTCCTCTTTGGGCTCTGGTTTGCTCTTGTGTGTTTTAATGAGCCCCTTTTCCTTTTTGGGAGGGCGAGGGACAACATTTACTCAGTTTGGATGCCCACGTCACGCCGGCACTAGCAGAGCGCTTTAATGAGTCCCAGAGTGAGACAATGAATTCATTCTTGCAGCATCGTTGGCTGCAAACGTGTCACCGAGCCATGTGTTAGCATCCTCTCCGCCGTCTGCTAGCATGCTCTGATGCCACTTTGTCGTTTAATCACACGCGGGGATAGTGTTTGCAACACGTTTCGACATGCATGGGGCCCCTCTGCACCTTGCACCTGTGTGTGCTGGTACACGCAGGCGTGCATACGTGGCGGCCTGCGTTGACACGGCTCCTGCATGCACAGGTAAAGGCTAGATTTAGCCACGCGCTCGACAGCGGTGGTGGGTTTTATTGCCTCGAGCAAACTTTTGCTCTTTCTTCCACTCCTCTCTCCTTTCCTGCAAGGATCCTTAAGTGTGTGTGTGTGTGTGAGAAAGAGAGCAGACCAATAAATCACTATATCTGCTGCAAGACCATTTTTCTCCATAACCGCCTCCTTCATATTCATATAAACATTGATCTTTTTTTTGCAGAGGGCATGCATGTCATGTATACACACACACGCACGCACGCACAAACACCAGCACCCACATGACCGCGAATGAAATCCACTGCCTGCCTGCAGATGGAAAAAAAAAAGCATCTCGCGTCTAATTAGGAAAGAACAGCGGTCGATCTTCCCGTGGCATCTGAGAAAACACCGCGCAACCTATCGCGGCCCAATTCTATTTTTTTTGCGTCCCGCCTCGGCCTCCCCCTGCTTCCAAGGACAAACCGCAGCACCTTGTCTGTCAGCTGCTTCCCATCAAGGAGGGGGGGGGGGGGGGATCTGCAGCAACCAGGTCCACCGGACCTCCCATCACACCCCGCTGACATCTCAACCGTGGCGATCCAGGACTCATGTCATCCCGCTCTCCTCTTAAAAATCTCACGTCTGCATTTACTACATTTATTTCGGATGATTTCGTACATTTCCCGCACAGCCTTCCACGGGGGGCCCCCAGAGAACGGGCGCTTGTTTCCATTTAGCTTTGTTTGTATGATGTTCAGGTAATGAGCAGGAGGAGTGCAGTGATGCTGACAAGCGAGAGAGCACGTTCCGCTTCTTTGTTTTCATCCTGAGAAGAGGCGGAATCGGATCCTTTCACTGATAACGCGTCTTGTCTGCTGGATGCGTTGTACTCCGGTCCCTCGGGGCTCCTGGAGGTGGAGAGATTGCGGTGTATTCCTCTTCTGTCGGTGGAGTTCTTTCTTGTTGTGCAAAATGAAGTTTAGAAAAGAGCGCTTTGCTGATGATCCAGAGGGACTGGCATCAAGACACGATGTTTAGCCCACTGCTGATGTTTTAGATAACCGACAGATGTCCTGCTGCATTTGGAGTTACCTATAAATATATAAATAAATATATATATATATACATGTACACTGCTGAATGTGTCTCATGATATCGACAGTTCTCCAGAGAGAAAAACAACAGAGAAACAAACAACAAGACTTCCACATGTTTTCCACTTGCTATTTTTAAACCATGTTAAATCATGTCAAGCTTTCTCCTTTAACAAGCCGCCCCATTATTCACTTACCGCAGAAAGAAGTGTCGACACTCACTTGTTTGTAAACCTTATTACTGTCATTCATGTGTCACCTATTCATTTTGGTGGATGCACCGCAGTGCTGATGACTGTTTTTACTATAGTATATTCAGCTCTTGACTCCCTGCAGAGTTTTCTCATCCACATAAAACTGTTGGTTGTTTTTTTTTGAATGATTTTACAACTTTTATATTCCAACTGCGCCTTGTTATTGTGTGTTTCTATTTCATCATTTTATAGTTGACTCCATCTACAATCCATATTCATCTCACGGGACAATACAGATTGAATTGAACGGCACTCTCGGCGAGGAATGTGATGGTGAACCGGGCAGAAGTCGGCAAAACGACGGGGACGTTTAATGAGCGAGGTCGTAACACACAAATGATGTTTCTACAAGCCTTTTGGAGGCTTTGGGACACATCCTACCGTCTCAAAGAAACATCGAGGACTGCCTAGAATTAAACCAAAAATGTGATACTTGAATGCACCGGACTCCCATCTGCTGATGAAGATCATGTAATATGCATGAAATGAAACGAGTGTTTAGAATCCGCCGGCAAAGCTCGTGTGACCGACGGACAGGACGGACATCAACTCTTGTGTGTCGACAACCGGACCGACAAGCAACTGGTCAACGCTGATTGATCAGAGGATAAATAACCCCCCCCAAAAAAACAAAAGTAAACATGACGTCTGTCTAAATAATGAAGTAAACATGTAACAGCGAGTGAGCCTCAACATCGGCCTATAAAAGTAGCATCTTGTCTTCACGTTGCACACGCGGCCCTCCTCCATTATTGATACCTACAGACTCAGTTAAGCGTCGTGCAGCTGCTCCCGAGGAGCGACTTTGTTGCGGCGAGCGCTGCTGCAGTGAGAGCGCGTCATGTGACATCAAGTCTCTGCAACGCGCTCGTGTCTTTTGTTTGATTCCGGCCGCCGTCCGTATCATCGCAGCGCGTCGTCCCGGGCAGACGAAGAGAGTCGGGTGTTGTGTCACGTTTGCTTGTGCAAACTGTTGCTGTTTAAGGACTTAATGAACTGTGTTCCTGAAATACTAACAGAGCGGTGGAGACAAATTCACCGCGGCTTGAAATGAAAAGCTGTAAATCTGTTTCGGATCCATGACTGAGGCGCTTGTTGTTTCCAATAAAAGAACGTGGAGGCGTGTTTCAATTCAATATGGGAAATGATTTACACACGCAAACTGCCAGTTCAAACTTTGAATGAACAAAGGGAATCGTTCTTTTGTGAAGTGTGGTCACGTCCTGTGTGTGTGTGTGTGTGTGTGT